GACTATCTCAGTTTGCCACGTCTCGCGTCTTGCGTGTCGCGACCTGAGCTTGAGGCTACTCCTGAACCTGAGTCTGGGGATTGGGATTGGAACCGAACCGCGGGCTGAGCAAGCGATGTTCGAGTCGAGGGGCGGGGAACTCGTTCCTCTGGTCTGGGGTGCGTACCGTCCGTCCGCTGAGCTGGCAGCTTAAGTACGTATCCCTCTCAGTCGCTCCGTGCATCGATGTGCATCAACGAGGATCAGGGTCAGCTAATCGCAACAGGGATGTTGGGATATATGAATTGACACCTTTAGACATATGTAAAGATATGTAAAAGTATATAAGAATACAAAGCGAATGAAAAAAGGTAAGATTGCGTACTGCGAATCCCGATAATCGATACCAGTCCAACGTTAACGTTACCGCGTCTCCTGCCGATGAATTTCGGTCGGACGAGGCCAAGGACCCACGATGCCTATAAGCAGGAGCACTCAGCATACGAGTGCAAAAAAAACCCAGGCGTCAACATCGGAACGGAGACACGAGGCTAAAAATTTCGTGCAGGCCCAACGTTGAACGCCCAGCATTCATGAACATCTTCGTTACCCGTCGCCTCAGAGCACGTTGACGGGCGCTGTTTGCCACATACATAGCGAGCATGGGCATGGGGTTGTGTCATTGTGGTGGGCGATTGACAGATGAAAGGGAGCGGAGAAGGGGGTGGGGCTCAAAAGATAAAGGAGAGATGAGATTAAGAGATTACTTTACACGGATCGGGTAGACGGCCCGGGTGAGGTCCGGGGTACTTACATCGCGTCATTTGCAGTTGGCAATGGTACACATCGAAATCGATGAATACTTCAGCTCTTAAGATTGGATCATGAGAAGGTGACCAGTGCTAGTGAACCCAGGGAAAATAAGAAATCTTCGCCTGGCGGACTCGCTCGCGAAGGCTTGTGTGTTCGAAGACAATGGCTCGCTTGGAAGGAAGGACCCATTTCCAACAGATCCCAGCGCGCTCGCCGCTAAAGCGCTAAGCGCAGTTCTTAGCTATCTTAGCCATCTTAGCCATCTTAGCCAGCTTAGCTCTCTTACCGTACATAAAGAATCAGCTTATCGTACTTAATATAACGTACAAAAGTCAACATCTCCCTCTCCCCATCTCTCCCTCGTCGCTCTCCTAGTCTCCTTCCCGCCCACAAAGCCCACAAAGCTATGGAGGGCTCGGGGCGTACGCAGGCGGCGGCCCTAACGGCGTCTCCGATCTCCCCTCAGAGTTACTACGCGCTTCTGCGCCCACTCCCGCACCCGCACCAGCGCCAGTCGTCGATCCTCCCTCTGCGCCCAACACTAACACTGACTCTAACCCCTCCCCACTCCGCCCTCGTTCATCCCTTCTATCAACATCAACGTCAACACCACTTAGCTCCCCCACCCTCCGCCTCATCTCCTCGATCCTACGCCGTCTGCTCTCTGCATCTGTTCCGTCTCCGTCCCCTGGGTCATATCCCGAGCCCTCCCGCGCCTCGAGTCGGTGTATCTCCAGCATGAGAGTTTGCACTTCCCGCATGCGGTCCATCAGACTCGGAGTCAGGGCGGACGGCGGTTGTTGATTTTGTTGATTTTGTTGGTGTTGGTGTTGGTGTTGGTTCGCCGGAATGGCGGACGAAGGAACGGGGATGGGGATTGGGACGCCAGGCGGCGACGAAGGCGAGTACCGCTCTTGCCCCTGCCCCTGCTCTTGCTCCTGATCCTGTGGGTGCGCTCGTGAGATGGGTGGCGGAAGGGATAACCTCATCTGGGGTACGGGGAAAACGGGCGCGGGCGCTGCTGGGCCCGAGCTGGATAGTAAGGTACTCGGTGCCCGATGGTGTGTCGGCGAGGGTGGGCTGGGTGATGGTCGATTCGCAGGCACTGCTGCTGGAGGAGGGGGATGATACGCCTGTGGTTGGTACGAAACTTGGTACGCCCTTGCTTGCAGCGACGAAGGTGGCGGGGACAGCGGTGGTGGTGGCGAGGATAATTGGGGTGATAATGGTACGTTCGCGTTGTAGGAAGGCGAGGGTGCGAAATGCCATGGAGGGGCGCCGGGCGGAGGGGCGTGGGGTTGCGGCAGGCCGTACTGCACGGGAGAGGGAGCGGCAGGAGGGAGAGCGGTCATCTTCGTCGGTGCATCTTCAGCGACCCAAGCCCGTCAGCATACGAAAAAAAATAAACTCGAACAACCGAACGAAACGACGCACCCCTCCCCCTCCTCCTCCTCCGCGCCGCCACCTTCAGCGTACACACCACCGCGCCGATCACGACCGCAGCGATGATGACGCCGACGTAGATCGGCGTCGTTCGGTGCGTCGTCGCCATCCTTGCTTTCTCCTCCCCTAGTCTTCTGGTCCTCTTCTCCTCTGGTCGTCTGGTCGACTGGTCCTGTAGTCCAATGTTATGCCAAACCTCCGAGGTAGCCTTTCGTGCCTTCGAGCTTATGTTTATCCCCTCCTCGTAGCCGTCCAAGTCAAGTTGTCGAAGTCGTCGAATTAACGCAGCGCAGAGCACAGACGAAAGTCGTACGATATCCCAGACGCTCCTCAGAGCACGACTCTCATCCAAAGTTTCCAAACCAATTCCGTCGTACACGTACAGGAAAGAGGGACGAGGGGGCTGTGTCGCACTGTCACCCCCACTGTCACCCCCAACCTAAATGCCAGATGAGAGCAAAAGCCAAAGATAGCGCACACCACACCACACGAGGCGAGGCTGTGGGGTCTATAAATAGGACACGATCACGCGGCGTTGGACCCTGGTACCACACTGGGCGGGGAGGGATATAAATAGAACTGTCGGATGCGTCTGGCCCCAGACGAGGATATGGGGAGGGAGAGAACGTACTCGAAGGGAGTGGAAGGGTACAGAAACCGTTGAAGACATTCGCGTTCACGCTTCGATAGTCAGTGAATTATAACCTCGGTTTTATTTACTTACGTTGCACCCTCGGCCGAACTTATCGTACATACTCTAGAGTACTCGTCGAGGTAGGTGGGCTTAACGCTTGTGTCCGACGAGGTCGAAGTGCAAGCTAAATGTCTACACCACAGCCGCGGCGCAAGTGGAGCATCCGGGACCGACGCTGTAAGATTTATATATGAAAGAGAGAACAATCGATGTTGGACAGGCTGTTACCATAAGTATATTATTGCGCCGACGAGGAAGAACGCTATGGTACAAGCTTAGCGCTTAGCGCTTAACGGGCGAACTGTGCTCCTGAAGACTAGATAAGCGCTCGAGAGACAAGCTGAAGAAGAGCATTCATGATTCAAGATATGACAGGACTTCTCCTGACCCGGGCCGACCCGCCGACCCGCCGACCCGTCCCTTGATTCCGCTGCGACCTGTCCATGTCACCGTCAATCGAAACCACCCTCGATCATCATCCTCGTCTCTATCCACTGTTCAAAACAGCCCATATCTACCGTGTCGAGTTATACGCGTCGGTATTCTATTTCTGTGGGTTATAGTATGGGCGGTGAACACGTCAAAATTAACGTCCAATGTCGAACGACTGGTAAACGTTATCAAGGTGCGCAATCTCTCCTTTTACTTTACTTTACTTTACTTTGCATACATACGTTTATGTCTAAAGGTATCGATTTCATAGACGCAGAGGTACTCTAGATGCAACATCCCCGTCGCGATTAGCCAGACTGACCCTGATGCGCGCTGATGCACGATGCACGGAGGGGGAAGCGTGAAGGGGAGCCTTACATAAGGACCTGCCAGTTCATCGGACAGGCAGCGCCCAGAGGAACGAGTCTCCCCTCAAAAATCGCTTGCTCGGTCCTAGTTCGGTCCCATCCCCATCCCCAGACTCGAGCTCAGGCCGCGACGCGCGACACCCTAGACGTGGCGATGCACGAGTGTACGGGTGCGTATCCTCTCTTCGTCCAAAACGTGTCTGTCCTTGTGCATTCGTCCATCACTAGCCCATACCCTACCCCCCTCATCAAGGCGTTGATCAAAGAGCCAGACGGGGAAAGGGCTGGGAGAGGGCGAGGTGTGTGCGGCAGGTACACCTCGGGCCGGACGCCGTGAGCGCGTCGCATCGTCGCGTCGAGATGCCCGAGCCGGAGCCCGAGCCAGAAGAATTTGCGACGCGCCCGCCACCACCGAACGCGAAGAGATACCTCGCCCGCCTCTTACACGTCGTTGCGCACTGCCTGCCGCACTTGTATGTTCTGGAGTGGAACCTCCCCGGCCCGCTCTCCCCCGCGGTCGTGCACGCGATGAGGGTGTCGGGGGTGAGGCATTTGAGGGTTTGGAACGTGGTTTTTTTTTCTGCCTGCGTCGAGTGAGGAAGGAGAGAAGGAGAAGACGGAGGAGGAGGAGGAGGAGGAGGAGAAAGATCCGGGCAAGTGGCCACTGGAGTCCCTGGCGATCGAAGGATGGAGCACGTTCGCCTCGCTCACCGCGCTCATGCGTCTCCTGCACGCAGTGGCGCCCACCATCCGCCAACTCGTGTGGAAGGGACACGTCCTAGGGCCCGTCCTTCCCCCGTCTCCCTCCTCCTCCTTTGTGGATCTGGAGAACGACAACGCCAACAGCAACAACGCCCACACACTGCCGGAATTCCCGAACCTCCGCACGCTGGTCCTCGACCGCGCCTCACCCGACTCCTCAGCCCTCCTCACGCACTTAGGCGCAAAAACGCGCGTAAGCACTCTGGCGCTCGATAGCGCGACGCCTGCCACCACCTCTTTCCTACGCCACAGAGGGTACGTGAGCGAGCTCACGTCGTTCGCGTGGATTAACACCCGCACGGCGGAAGGGAGCGAAGGAGACGTGCTCCTGTTCCTCGCTGAGAACACCCAGCTCGAGGCAGTCGAGGTGGCAGGCGGTGTTGAGGCGGGGTGGGTCGAGGGGGCGCTCCTACCCCTCCTTGGGCCCTTCGATTCGTTGACTTCGCTCAAGCTGTCTTTTTCCTGCACCTCCATCCCCGAAAGCACCCTATCCGCCCTCACCTCCCTCCCGCACCTCCAGACCCTGCACATCTCCGCTGGCCCCGCCCATCCCTCCAGCCCGACTTGGCACCCTTCGCACGAAACACTCCGTCGGGTGCTCGCGCCGTTGAAGAAATTGAAGAGGTTGGCGTTCACGAGGGACACGTACGCCGTCACCGCACACCCTTTGGCGCCTCGGAGAGAGGGAGGAGGGGGGTACTATAGGGTCCGCACCCTGCCCGAAGGTGTTCGAGTCAAGGATTGGTTGGAGGGCGAGGAGGTTGAGGTGTACCAAGGTACTGGTGCGGACGGCGAGGGGATGTGCCTCGACGTCGGGCTGGACAGCGCCAGTCACGGTCCTGGTCCTGGCTTTGGTGCTGGCGCCTCCTCGCCGTCGGGGGAGGATGAGGGGATGGACGGTGCTCGGCCGCGGCATAGAGAACGACAGGCGCAGATCGTACTCGCCACTCTCGCCTGGGAGAGGTGGCACACTTATCAGATGTGTGCTATCGTCCAGTCTTACGCGGAGGCGTTTGGCGGGTTGGAGTGGTGTTTCTTGGGCCAGCTCGCGTTTGGGGTGGAAAATGTGTATGACGAGGTAGGCGAGGGGGGGAGGAGGGGGAGGATGGCGTACGCGGAGCCGCAGGGGGGGAGAGGCGGGATCCGTATGGGTCAGTGGTGGAGAGGACGATGGGCGGTGCTTGTTGGAGGCCGACGTAGAACTAGATATCCTTTCTTCCTCGAGCTCTGATTCAGACTCGAGTATGGTCCTAGAGTTGAGTAGATGTCTAGATAATGGAATTTTAGAGCTCAGGTTGCAGACTTTAGACCTCTTTAGACGCTTGTTCGTCGGAGTACCTCTACTGTATAAGATGTGGCTCTCCCGCGCTGGAGGACTCCCGTTCACGTTTGCAATCTACAAACACATGAACCGAGATGGTGTAGAAGACAGTGATTCTAAACAGGAATTGGATAGAGGTTCTGCCGCTTTGATCAAGGTAACCCCTTCCTGCCAACTCCCAAAATGCTATGCCTTTCGTCTATCTGTCCTCAATTTGTTTTCATCCAATGGAAGCAAATAGAGCGCCTAGACCTCAGTGACGTGAGTCCTGCCGACTGTCTTACGGCTTTATCCAATGCCTCCAATATATATGCGTCTTTTTACCATCTGCTCCCTCAATCCGGACAAAGATGCTCCATTACACCATGTAACACACCAGACCCTTTGCATCCTCAATTTTACAACTTCTTCTCAGGACACCGACGATATTTATGACAACACTAGAGGTTTGCCCGTGCTTCGCACGGGGTGCGCCGGTGGGGGGGAATTGGGACCCGAAATAAAATTGCACATGTGCTAAAGTTCTTCGTCACTTTCCATGGATTTGAAGCACTTAGTCCCGCTCGCCTTCGCCCCTCCGTCGCGCGGGGCGCTCCGTCGTGCCGAGCGACTTCCGGCGGGCTTAAACTTGAATGCACTGCATATTTTATTCTTATTGAAATTTACTTACTCAGATTCTCCGGCGCTCCCTCCCCTTCCACTCGAGCAATTTTGCGAAAGTTGATTGAACTCAAGACGGGCTTATTCCTTACCCGAGCGCCCGTAGAGGGGCTGCTGACAGTGACTCTGACCTAATAACTTGAGGCATAGTGGGTTGAATAGGGAATGGCCAATGGATGGGTTGGCTTAATAGAATGTAAGGGCTCCACGCTTTCTTGAACCTTATCTAATCACTGGTCAGGCTCAGCGCTCAACCATGACAGAGAAGGTTAAGCCAGTCAACTTTCAAAGTTGACCTCTGGACAAAAACCTTGGTTTTAGTAGGTAGATTATAGTCCCTTCGTTACAAAAGCTGTCCGTCAGGATTGTTTCGCCCAGTCTCACGTCTATGATTGCTCGTTCCAAGTCCCCCCATCACGCATCTGACTATACGAGACAGTATTATTGAAGACGAAGCTCTGGCTCTCTTCCAGCATATTCCATATTCCTCTCCTCTGCGAGTTGCGTTTAACAGACGTAATTCTAGTACCCCATTTTTTCTGGCATCCAGCAATCACATCAACCTCGCATCCATCGGATAATGAGCAGTTCCTTCCAGCTCTTTCTTCGTTGACCATCCGCACGAAGCAGAAATTATTTTTTGGAAGGACGTTGTGGATGCCCTCTGCCCAGATCCCTTTCACCCAGCTCGACATCCGACCCGACCGCTTTCAACCTTCTCACTCTCACTCATCAGAATGCCGGAGAATATCTACGAAGATCTGGATTTCATTCCGCCGGATGAGGAAGAGGACCTGATGGACCAGGTTATTCTCCAGAAGTTCCGTGCATTGAAGGCTGGCGGGATGTCCATATCAATTGTGGGCATGGATGACCGGGCTTTTCTGGCAGGAGATGACGATAACGAGGATTCTAGTAGTGGAGAAGAAGAGTTGGAAGAGGCGTAGGGTCTAAACAGTAAGCGGGCTCAGGACATTTGGTTGCCGCAGAGGTCTGATAATGATTAGGTACAAGCTCAGGCGCTCAAGGACGGGGGAATGCACCCACGCCGTGTACATCCATTCCTGTAGAGACCCCCACCAAACACTTCTTTCAGCTGTATGACGACGACTTGTATTCGCAATTCAGGTTCCAGGATCCAGAGAATAGGGAAGGAGCGGAGGAGGATGGTGTACGTGGAGGAGGAAGGGGATGGGCGTTGCTTGTTCACGGCCGACGTAGACGATTACTGGGCCCTGGGTACGAGGATACCGAGGAGGCGACTTGCCGATCACCCCAGAGTTAGATGATCGAGGTGAAAATTCAATATTTTAGACGCTTGTTGGACTTGAGGTGTGGCGATACGCACCAGCCCTTAAGCTTAAGGTTTAAGCGCCGAACCTCCTCTGACGGCGAGAAAATAGGGGTTCGGTGGTCCCAGTGGATTTTTGGGTCAAGGCGGCTCTTAACTACCAAATAAAAGATAGCTATTGACGACAAAGAACCGAAAAATGGAATTTAGAACAAACAGGAGATGGATAATGGCAGTTCATTTAGAAAGGTTCGCTTGAGACTTATACGGACTCTACGCATCGATGATATCGTACTTGTAGTCCTTAATCTCCGCTCCAAATATCTCCTCGATCGTGTCCTTGTTGTTCGGCGTGATTCTGACGTTGCTGCCGTGAGTGGAGGTGCGCGAGCAAAAGTTGCAGTGGACGTTCAATGATTTAAATGGGCCCTTTCCGCATTTATCGCATTGTATCCCCTTGACCGCGATCAGACGCTCAGCGGTTGTGGTGGCCGAACTAGGACCAGAGTAGGTCAGTTTTGCCTCTGCGGGTACGGGCTGCCCACAGTCGTAGCAATTATAGGCGGAATTGATCAGACTCGACGGCGACGTGCAGAACCCGCATTGTATCGCATCTCTGCGGATGCGGAGCGTATTCGGGACGTTCAGAGGAGAATGTGAGATATCCCTGATCCAGAGGATTTGAGCCGCCGTTTCCCATCCGAGTGTAGCGAGATCCGCGAGCGTTGGCCTGTGGTCACTGCTTGCCAAGCTGCAGAGTCCTTCCTCCAGCCATGCACCGACTTTATGCGTTCTCGCTAGAACAACCTTCTCGATCGGCGATAATAATATATCAGTCGATAACCTGTGAATAGCATACGCCCTGATCTGGTCAATTAATGTGTGAGCGTCAGGCGGTTTAGTAGCGAGGAAACCAACTTTCGGCGCACCTTTTTCATATCCCAGATGGCGGACAACTTCAGCACGCTCACCCACTCCTCCTTCTCCAAATCCAAGTCGAGCTTTGTACCGGAAATTAGAGATCCAGCTCTATACGAAGTCCTCAGGTAAGAAAGATCAAATTACGTGAGGAGCATACGAACATACGTGGGATACATTACTTTCAACAAGCACGCAAATTCGTGCTTCTTATATCCTTCGAGTACGATGGGATGTTTTCTATCCTGACCTTCATTGCACGTCGCAGGCCCAGAAGGCAAGAGGAACATGTCCGCAAAGACTTCAGACGATCGTACGAATTCGCATCGGGGGACACAAAAGAGCTCGTCTTCAACCTAGACATTGTGCGAAGGAACGGTGCGAATCGGTGCCGAAAAGCGACTGGGACGAACCTGGATGACCATGTTATCCCAATAGAATTGGCTGTTAAGCGTAACTTCGGCCATGGATCCGATGCGAAGAGTGAGGGAGAACACCGAAAGGGAGTCGAGGACTGATAGGGAGCTGATGATCAAGAGGTAAGATATGAATATATGAATACTTCCCGCGATCGATGAAAGTGTGCTTTATGTAAACGATAACGAAGTTTGTCACGGCATTTAGTTTCACACATTCACATATTACCTTCTACGCGTTGCTTTTACATGCTATTCCTGCCATACCAATATATTGTCTAGGCTCGACACCACCCGTCCTGGAATCATCATGTGCCAAGGCAGGGATTTCCGTACTTTGGACAGTGATGTGTCATTCTCTTTAGTAAGTACAATAATCCCACCATCGTGAACCCAAGCGAGAATGGGTTCGAGTCTATATATTGTCATTGGTGTACGCCGAGGCCTAAGACAACTGGTCAATTAGTAAGCTATGGGATATCATCATCGTGTCCCATCCTGTTAAGCGAGCTCATGGGCGCTAGGGCCGATATTGTTCGACTTGGCCAACATGTCATCCACATTCTAGCTCTGATGCAGACGATGCCCGTCTCCGCAAATGGCTTCTAGTTACGACGTCCGAATGTCCTCTGCATTTCGAAACTTGAACCCTGTCGTCATCGCGTCATTCTTCCTCGCCACAGCTGTATGGGACGCAGCTTCCCTTCCTTTGTCAAATTATACTTGAAGCTAAATTTCACGAAGGTGAGGACTCCGTAGCATCCTGGATGAGTCGATCGAGCGCAAGTAGGAGAGAAAAATAGACACGACGCACCTGCGGAGTTGTACGAATCTGTGAAAGGAAAATACGTATGAAACAGTACAATACGCCACTGCCGAGGTTTTCACGAGGACCATCGATTTCCTCCTTGCATGCGAATATCTTAGTGCGGATCCTCGGTACTTAACATCGGCTGAAGAAAGGTTCGGCACTCGGTCAGGACCTGTGAGATTGGAATCGAGGGCAACAGCTTGTTGAGTAAGGCGCAGCGGCTCTTATCCAGTTAAAGCAGAACCAGCGATGGAAAGTAAGACGGGCCTACTAAAATTTCCACGACTGGAGTGGGGCGCTGGCCTGACGCGTTGTCGTTTTCATCTGAGACTGACGGAAATAAGCGCCCGTCATGCACCAGGCCAAAATGGAAACTAATATTTCTCGACCCCCAGCGACCTTTGGCGCTGTGAGAGTATAATAATATTGTGGCTCTACTCTGGTTTGGCTAAATTTGAGCAGTGTCGGCGTTCGATAGGTGCTTCCCCGCCCAAAGTTAGAAGTTTTCTGTGAAAGAGGCGCTCGGCGCTCAATGCACCCTAAGTAGAGAACACGGAGATATTTCCGGAAGTCCGACGATGTTCAAGTTCGGCCTGATGAATTCCAAGTAAGTAATTCATCACATAGACAGATTTTGAGGACCGTGTGATAAGAAAAGATACGTAAACCCCGCCCACAGCAACATCGTCGTCGCGTTGTCAGGCATTTCTATTTCTCGACGAGTCTCGACAACGGAAAAGAATTTCGTTCTTTCGGTGAAGCCAGAGCGAGAATAATTTATGGGCCGTTTTCCAGCATTCACACCGTGTCGAGTTATCTGATCTTTCCGTCTTCTTCCCCATCTCGGACATCTGCGTAAACCTCCGCCCTCGCGAAAAATCACTCTTTTTCCCGGTGCCAGAAATTATATGTGGGTCCGTGGGCCACCCATGTCGTAAACATCGATGCGCGTTTCTCCCAAAAGCGTATCCTCCGCCCACAATCCTTCCTCCGAGCGTCACCGGCGGGACCTAGAAAACGGCGCCCATTTCCTTATCGAACGTGCCGAGGGATCGAAGTACGCCAAGCCATCAATTCCAGTCAGTGATCCCGCCCGCGTCCTGAACGTGTCCTTTTTCGTTCTCCCTATCATCCAACCACCATCGACCCCGCGATCAGAGCTCATCATGCAGACATCAGGTTCGCCTGTGTCTCGAAAAAAGGACAATGATGATGGGCTCCCGGCTTTGAAGTGTATGATGAGCCAGGGGTTGGCTTGTGCTACCGACCCAGCGCGGGTGGGCTTCGTCGTCGCCAACAATCAAACAATTCTTCTTTCTTTTCCACCATTTCGTCTGAAGTTGGACTGTCCCTCCCGGCTTGAGGCTGCAAAGCCTGCCACCCACTCTCTTTTACAGATACCATGGGACTTGATGTAGACGATACCAATTCCGCGATACAGTACTCCTCTGGGTGGACGAACCGGCCTGCGTTAGGGCAGTACCAGGAAACGGGCCATGCGACGAGCCAGGCGGGTGCGTCGCTCACGTTCACGTTCGAAGGTGCGTTCCTCTCTTCCTCATCTTCCCACTTTCCGTCATCCATGGCCTCCTTATCATACACCGCGAACTTGTTCTAGGCACAGCGATCCGTATGATATGCACCGTCCCTGGAGGCCACGACCTCTACTCGCGCGCTCAAGTCGTGCTCGACGGGGGCTCTCCCCGGCTGCTCGAACACACCACCCACCCGTCCGACTTCTACAACGACCAGTGGTACGACTCGGGCTCGCTCTTTAACGGTCGGCACACTATCACTGTCACCAACCCGGGCGGGTCGAGCGCCGCGCCGTTTGTACTGGACAAGTTCAATATCGATGGGACGGTGGTGAATGTGAATCCGCCTGCGGCAGCCCCTACGACGACGAGCACCCGGAGAGAGGTGATTACGTCGACGCAGGTCGTTATTGCGACACGGGTGACGACGACGGATGCCGTTATCTCTGGGAGTACGACGAGGGTGTCGACGCTCATTACCTCCTCCTCAACCTCGACGGCCACGTCTACGGTCTCCGTCTCAGAGACGAGCGCAAGTGCAACCTCGCACACAGACTCTCGTGAGTGTGTGGGTCTGGTTTCAAGGGACGTTTGACTCAGACTATCCCCGTAGAATCCACAGAGAGCTCTTCGGAGAAAACAGTAACTGCTGTCCAGTTTCTGACTTCGACCGCCGCCGATGGCTCTGTTTCGACCCAAACCACATTACCTTCCACGAACGACCCTACCTCCGCGTCTGCTACTTCCGAAAAACCTCTAGGGCTCATTATAGGGAGTGTCCTAGGTGGCACAGCAGTCATTCTCCTTTTCCTGCTGCTCCTTATTTGTCTACGACGGCGGAACAGAACACACATTTTGCTTCCTGACGATAGAGAAGCACGTCCCTCAAGTAAGTCCTCGTCCTCTGTCTGGGTCTCTCTTTTCTCTAATGTACTGCAGGACACCGCGACACAGCAGTAACGCCCTTCAACCTCAACCGCTCCGGCTCGGGCGCTAGCCGGAGCGGCGACCTTACCGCCATCAACTCCAGCACAGGTCACACCCGCTCCTCCGAGAGCGCGAACGACCATCCACCCTACATAGCCGGTGCCGCAGGAGTTGCCTACCTCGCGCGGAACATCTCCGAGAAGTCTAGGCACCTCTACATCAGCGAATCCCCCACCTCGTTGTACAGCCCAAGCGCGCATCCCGCGAACGATCCCTTTACGTCGCCGCCTATCAGGCTACTGCCCGCGACGCGTAGTACCCCTACTACGCTCCCGCACCTCGACACAGGTGGCGGCGGGCCGTCCCTTACGCGACCGAACTATATGTCTGGGGAGACGGTGATGATGAGCTCGACCGATATTTATGCACGTACGCCCGCGCTTGGACCGGTGGATTCAAGGGACGTGCCGCCTGCGTATCAGAGTGTACGGAATACGAACTCGGGGGCGTCTTTTGCAGCATCGACACTCCGTAATACCCAAGGTGCTGGTTAACTTATCTTTTCCCTTTTTTCTTCTCTCCAGCGCCTTTCCTTCCTTACCACGCTCTCGCTCCTCCGGTCCGTACACGTTCTTGACATCCAACTTGGCTTTCCTGTCTTTCTTGGGGGTTCTTTGGGCCTTTACTCCTGATATCGCCTATACGTTTATATTATCTCACGATTCATTCCTAAGGAAGCATCGATTTGCGGTGCTCTTCCCTACTTCTCCCATGCAGAGCGTGTTTCTCTACTGCAGTATGTGACTGTATGACGCCTTTTCTGTGATGTAAATCAGAGCCCAACATACATCCATGGCGCAATTTCGTCGAGTGATAGGCGGAACTGTCCAGCACTGCTGAATCAGTGACGACGGTTCAATTGAGGTAAGTATTATTACTACGCCTTCGGTCCACATCACCAAAGATCCGTATAGATCATGCGTGTCTTTCAGAAGCTGATCAAGTATTTTATTCATGGAAACACGGCGCTTTAAGAGTAGGAAATGTGGTTTCGAGACTTTTTATCTCCAGAGGATGTTTGTTCACGATGGTCCCGAGGTGCTTCTCTGTCAACGCCGCACGAGGTTCATTTCCGTGTATGGTATTCGGACTTACAAATGGGGAAGGAGGTGTCCAACGTGCTCGAGTATCACAGCTTGACAGATCATGAGCATCGAGCGGGCCAACTTCGCGGGTCGAGGCTGTTTCAAGAGATCAGAACACTTCGCCCTTCTATTTCATCCTCGTTCTCTCCTTCTGCTCACTCTCCTCTTTGCCCTTCTTGCCCCACCTCTCGCGGTGACCCACACTCGTTTCATACTCGTCCTATGACGATCATTGTGGTCGATGACACCGACTCACGGATATCCTATCAAGGCGACTGGTCGTTGATGAGAGGGAACAAGAACACCTACCAATATACGGTCCATTCAGTTTGGGAGGATTTCGCTACTGCTACGTTCAAATTCACAGGCACGCCTCCTCCGGCTCCAGCTCTTCCCTAATTCCCCAGCTAACTTCTGACAGGAACCTCTATTACGGTGTACTGCGTCGTACCAGAAGGCGACAAAACCTCGGCGGCCGAGTTTCGAATCGATGGCGGGCGGGCTGTGCGAGTCATCAAGGCCTCCAGTGATCTGCCAGTGTACAACGTCAACTTCTTCCAGTCCGGGAAGTTGGCCTATGGAGAGCACACACTGCTTATTACAGAGGTCGGAGAGGAGGATTTCCGTATCGACCGCATCGAGTACGAGAATGGCTACACACCGACCTCGTCGACGACCAGAACTGTGCAGACAACTCCCACCTCGGAGGCTCTTGTTGGGAGTTCACCGACAAGTACGAGCTTTGTGGTGCAGAGATCGACGGTGGTCTCAACCATGATTGTCACGAACTCGAATTCGGCGGTAAACGGTCTTCTTCCTACCGGTTCGATCACGTCTCGCCAGAACTCGACCTCAGCAACGACCGCGAGCAGTTCTCTCCCTACAGGTTCGTACCCAAATTGGGAGCGATCCTCTGACATGGTGTTATTTACACGTCGACGATGATGAAACAGGTTCTCCTTCGCCTACGAACATCGCCGCCAACGTTGATAGAACAGTCACGCTGATCTCGACGACCAGCCAGGCGTCCTCTGACGTCGGTTTTGCCCCTCAATCCAACGCAGCTACGAACCATCATGTTCCCGTAGGCACCATCGCAGGGATCGTCATTGGTGCTTTGATTTCGGTCTTGATATCTATTTTGATTCTCGTCCTCCTTCGACGTCGCAAACGAACTCGGAGCGAAGTCAGTGAACGCGACGGGTCAGATAGGACCCCGATTCGCGAGAAACCTCAGCCTTCCAGGATGTGTATGTCTTCTTCAGACTACGGCATGCACTAGACACTGACGTTGGGAATAGTCTGGTTCCGCGACCGCTCGATACCCACCCCCTTCAACCTCGAAACCCCACCTTCCAACCCCTCCGACTCGCGTACACTTCCAGATCTCTCCTCGACCCTACGCGGAAGAGGTGGTAAATCCCACTATTTCCACCCGCTCAGCGACGAGACTTCCGACGAAGTCTTGCCCAGCTCAGCCTACTCCGGGCCTCTCACTCCTCTTACTGTCCCTGACACCTCAACGAGCAGCTTTTACACCGACGGGGCATATAACATTAACGTTGACCGCACCCCACTCACTCCAACGACTACCGTAGGCAACGACCCAGGCAAGACTCTCGATACCCCTTTCCCTGCCCGTATCCCTCAGACCTCAATGGGCGTGCGTCGACCACAGTACCTCTCTGGAGAGACTGTCGTCGCTGGACCTAGCCGCCCTACCTCGCATTTCCCATCGTTATCCCAATCGCAGTCTGTCGAACTTCCTCCGTATCCGTTGACGAGAACTGCGGATGCGACGCCGACGACTGCACCCCCGCCTGGTTATTATAACGAGAAGCATGCTTCGAATTGATATGGTGTGGTCTGTACCGTATTAAGCCTCCCAGTTAAACAGCGATTGAAGTTATGCTTCTATTCTTGCGGCAGATGAAGACAGACTGTCGCAACATTTTCGGAGGTCCTAAGATGGATATCGATGAATAATATACAGACAATGCGAGGGATATGCGTAAATGAGCTGGATATGTAAGTGGGAGAGAAAGAGATGAGAGAGAGACATAAAACACACGATATGAATGAAACCCATCCATTTGATATGAAGCCCTTCTTGATAGAAGGCTCAGCCAGAAATCAGTCACTGTGGGCCTAAACCTCCTACCCGCCAGTAACTTTTCGAACAACCATCACCACACGCCTCCCACCTGCCCGTCCACCCTGCACGACCGTCCGCCCCGCCCAATGCACGCCATAGACGAGGAACTGCATGCTCATCACGAGGCCCACGATAAAGCTAACCGCAAGCACGCCCTGGGGCCATGCCTCGAACGCCACGAGTCCCAGGAACGACATCAGCGAGAGCGCCGAGAGGAACATGCACAGTGCGGGCACGCGCGAGCTCAGCGAGAAGAAAAAGTACGTGTCATACACGTCCTTCGCTCGAGTTATGAACGTGGAGAGGTCCGCCCAGGTGTACCGCAGGAGGAACCAGGCGTCGCAGGTGATACCGAGCCCTGAGGCGACAGAGGACGCGGCGATGGCGGATCGGGCGTACGAGTCAACTTGGAAGATCGAGTCGGGCGAGATGGAGAAGACGGCGGTGTTCACGCTAAGGAGGGTTTAGAGATGGAGCAAAAAGGTCTTCGGATGGACGTACGCAGCAAGAGCGACCAGCAAACCACCGATAAATGTCCATTCTGACTGCAACCTCCTGAAGATCGGCTCAAACTGGGCATCCGTCCTCGCGGTGCACATCTCGCCGTACAGCGTGAAAGAGACCAACATGCGCTCTCCGCGGGTAAGATGGCTGTAATCCGGCGGCACGACGAGCTTCTCTGTATACAGAGGTAGCGGCAGATCCGAGGCGAGCAAGCCCTCAGCCATGCCAGCGAAAGAGATGGTATCTTGTGGATGGCTGTGGACAATAAGTCTATGTTGGTCCTCCCCGTATGATGGTATTTCCTCGTCATCTCGGCAATGGTGACATCGTCCGAGAGGAGACGCCGGCGAGGTGGTGGTGCGATGAAGCTGCCTTCCGTCGAGTAGCCATCGTCCGAATTGATCACATATCCTCGAACCTTCCGCCGGCGCAGAGTCTGAGGCTGGTCTTCGGGGCGCAGGTGCCGATGGATGGGCATATCATCTTCCGCTGTTGCTACTGATGAACCGTCATCGGAGTCCGCTGTGGGCGTCGAGTTGTGGGTTAATTCATTACGACCATCAACTGTGGATGGAACGTACAATCAGGGTACGAGTCCGAGGAGCTTGAGCTCTCATAACACTCTTGTTGTTTCTCACAATTAAAGGTGGATGGTGGTCGAAGCTTGAGGTGGAGCGCGGCACCCTTCTGAGGTCGTCCACGACTGGAAACTGATTTATGCTGAGCCTGTCGACATTGAAGTCGCACCTCCAGCTCTGCAAACAATGTCAGCTGGGAGCTCAGAAAGAAATAGAAGAAACAAAACGCACTGGATTCCGGACTTCGCTTTTTTACCAGCTCTCCAAGGCAGTGACACGCTGACGCCACCAGGATTTTCCGCTTCTTCTTCTTGCTTTGCGAACGGTGCCAGACCTTGATTTCGATGTTCGTGTTGTGGTCCACATCGTGACTAGAAGTCGTACATGAGCTATCATGCAGAAATGGGGTGCCGATGCACATACAACTTGAAGACCTCCTTCTGATTAATGTTCTGGCCGTCAACACCTAGGGTCGTCTCGTGGGTGTGGTGCTTATCGACCTCTAGGGTAATGATTGGGCGCCATGCCTTCTCCGGGCGCATGAGTCGGAGTCCTTCGAGGAGGACGACTGCAGATTAGTACGTCAGCTTCTGTAGCAGCCTTCGCGCCCAGCACACGTACCGGTAAGATGCCATGGGCTAAAACGAGACGTCAGGAGCGTTTCAAGGCATTATCTCGAAAGGTGACTCACTCTTGCTCTTCCATCGTAAGCCTGACGTTATAAAATCAGAGAGACATGAGGAAAGGCAAAATGGTGGGCAGGTTGAGTGAAGGTTGGGTCGAAGGCGGTGCCCAGCCGTTTTCTTCGCTTGATTGTGAAGCTGTGCCTGACCATCAGGGCTGTGGAGGCGTGGAACCAGAAGCGATGGATGGGGCAAGATGCAGTTAGGGGCTATTCCTACTACTCTTGGAGAAACGTAGGGTAGGACAAGGTGTGGCGACATCCTAGAAGTTAAAAACTGAAGGAGGTTAGAGAATCTATAATTTGTAACTACAGATGGTTTTGAATTTATTAGATGAAATTTTTTAACCTGGAAATTTTCGTGCTGTGAAATACATGCAGGATAAATATTAAATTATGGGAATAAGTGACCGACGCCCAACCGACGCCTTGTAGTTAAATCTCAGATCTAGAATACGTCTTCAAAAGTTTTCAGAAAGCATTTGAAGGACAGGTTTACAGTACTCCTGTAATGATTGTTCTTCCCAGGAGAAAATACCGTCAACTGCCAGGAGTGATTTCAGGACTTGAATCTGGATGGTAATCACGAGAACGCATTGGTCTAGTGATATAAGCAACCTGTCTGTGGGTGATACTGTGGAGAGAGCATTTAAATGCAGGGGCGTGAGGAGCTAGCAAGGAGGAAGGCGAATGGACTATTTCCAGAATGGGTAATGCGCCACCCCCATAATGTCTTTCTTCCCCCACGTGGCTACAAGTAAAACCTACTCGCTGCCATCAAAAGTGATTTCGGCCATCATTTTGGCCACAGCTCAGGACTTTGTCAGCATGCTTCAAGTATTATTTTATATTCTTAACATACTCATAGGCTACACTTTCAAGGTGCTTAGAGATTAGCAAAACCTTGTTGAGATCATTAAAAACAACATTTTCACCAAAATGCATGAAGCACAGCACCTGAGGAAAAAATCCTCTGACCCTCATTATTTTATGAGGGGTACTTCTAAGTCACCAATCATCCAAACAAGTTTAATTGTGTTCAATTGTCAAGTCGTTTCTAAGATATAAATACCAAAACATGGCCATTTTCCGCATTTTTAGGGGTTTTCACACAAATTACCTCAACTTGCTGGCCTCATATCCCCTTAACCATGTCTTTGATCTTTTTCATTTTAGCTTTTATATACTCTCCCTAAGTATATCTACATATACATGCATCTTATAGATTTTTTACGACCTTCCTTGAAGATGTGAAAAAATTGCTCAAGCATAAATTTCGCATTTTCTCACCTCTGGGATGGACATCCTGCATTCTGAGAGCACTATTATACTAGCCTAGTACATTTGAGATATGGAGAATATTTTCATGATCCAGTGCTAACCCGAACCCTGAGAACCCCAGGCCGAAATCACTTTTGGTGGCAGTGAGTAAGCCTCGACCTCCGAATGCCCAGCCAAGATTCAATTTTTATTCCCGCTTGATGATTTGAATAAATATTACACAGATCCATCCTCGTACGTTCTGGCAAAAAGTCGATCCTTACTACTCCCTTCGAGTGCTCGTAGATTGACCATCGGCGGTTCGGAGAGGTCGCTGGTCTATACAGACATTAGCGAGAATTATCTTGACGGCTGCTGATACTTGAGGTCAACTTACACTTGGATCGTTGTAGACAATAGCGCCAGCGCTATCTGCCCCACGTAGAGCCGATAAGTTTAGCGAGAGTGTACCGTCTTCGAGGTATCCCTTCCCTCGAAGGCTCTTGCGGGCGTTTAAATTCGCGAGCAAACAATTCGCGTAGACTACGCTTCCGTCAGGAAATTTTGCCATTAAGTAATATTTTGAAACCCGAACCTTTAGTGAAAATGAAGTTTGTTCCCAGAAAGATCATCGTGTTTGGAAGGGCAAGGAACTTGAGAATGGAAGAAGGAAGCACGTCAATCACCTATTTAAATTAAACCATTCTATATACGTACCGTCACTATGTTAACGATTGACAAGACACTGGATGCCAGCCCAGTGTTGATCGCGAAGAAGACGATACGCCGCACTAGGCGCCGCATTCTCAATGAGGAAATTTCGTCGTTAGAACTCTGTCGGCGCTTTACTCCGACCGATTGCATGGTACTTACTCTCGGCCCTTTGTCTTCTGCTTCAAGAGGTATACGCAAAGTATTGTGGCGATGAACGTGTCGAGGAAGACCACGAGAGACGTGCCAGCCAGGGCCAGAGTCTATTTGGAGCCGTTGGTAACGTTCACTTGCCGCCGAGGAGCTTTACCTTTATTGCTTCCCTCTCGAACCAATATTCAAATTGAAAGCTTTCCGAAATTCAGCTCTCCTACGATTGAAAATGTACAGCGCGGAGACTTACCAGGCGACAGAAGCGGCTGAAAATACATAATCTATCAGTTGATTAGCAAGGTGCAGTTACGATAGCTAGTACCGATAGCCAATCCTGACAGGCCAAATAAGTTATATCTCATGTCTCCACACTGGCGTACATACCAAGCGCTGTAAATGAGAGAAGGGCGATGATACCTCCGATAACGACACTCCGATTGCACACTGTGTCCCGCGTAGATTAGAAAACTCGCTGAAGAATATGCTATTATGGTTCAATTTACCTCGCCACACTCTCATTCCCAAATAGCTTTCGGCGTCTTCGCATGAGTACCCCTGGATGGAGTTATGAAGAACAAGGTACGTACCCGTGCGTCAGGAACGCCAGGAAGCCCTTCCAGACTCATCATTACAACATGGAGAATGAAGATATGAATTCTATAAATATACGCACCATGAGAGCGGGGTCGATCTATTTCCGCCTAATGTTCAATGCGACAAGGGACACCAATTCGAGAAGCGAACTCACGTCGAAGGATCTAAGTCCAAAAGAATTTATAGGTAACAAAACTAGGGAGAAGGAAATAGCAGAACTCTCACCTGTTAACTTTTAATCGGGCGAGCGGATTGTTCATATCGGTTATGACTAGTTCGCTCTGTGAGTTGAGGCAAGCTAAATGAAGGATTGTCTGACGATATCCGTACATCCCAACACATACGAGGGCCAAAGATGCCGTATCGATCACCCTAGGTTATACGATTCAGGTTTCGTCGTCAGTGAGAGTAATAGGCCATACCATACGATCAGCGCCTGCCGAAAATCGTCTAATGAATAGAGTATTTTGGAAGGGAAAAGAGATACGAACCAAAGTCTTCAAGCCTTTTCCGTCATTTGGGTAGTTGACGAAGTAAATATATCTGGAACATCCTTCACTCGTATGAAGAAAAAATTGGTTGATGGCAGCCTTACACTTGAAGAGTCGTTAATCCGTACAATCTAAACGGGGGGTCATTGTCCGTTCTTTCATATGAGCGCTTGGAGTCTCGGGGTGCCGAAGAACTCACGCAGATGCAAGTATTAGCCCGATGAACGCAGCTCCCCAAGTATTATCCACCGTCGGTAGGGACTCGTCAACGAGAGCATGTTCCAGCGTTCGATTTTACGGTGGGCGAAATCCGTAGGGAGCGGAGTCTACAGCAGTTGCTGCCAGTCGGGAAACCAAAAGGCAAAGGAGGGAGGAGCAGAGGAGAAAGGAAAGTCGACAGCAAGGCGGCAACAGCAATGAGATATAGCAAATCGCGGTGACACATGCCGTCCAATCAGCCATGTCAAATAAGAGTATTAATTGACAACTCAACGTTTGAATTGGAGTGTCGCAATGCCATTGAGGGCCGCGTCTAGCCATTTACGTGGCTCGTCGGCGATTCGGAGGTTTATGGTGGTCGTTCCCACTAAAATTACATAAGGGCGCCCGAAAGATCGAGGAGGTAGCACGTCGCATTTGAGGAGTCCCCAGATTCATATGATGAGCCGACGAGATTCTTGTGTCAATTTGTGGTCAGTATCTCTGCCATTTGGCTCTAGCAGCAATTTACAGATCTTCACGTTCATCTAGGAAAGCCAAAATATGTCGTGGGGAATCAAACAATTGTAGACAATTTGACAACTCCGTCTCAGGCTGTCTCTAACTAGAGCGACGAATGATTAATTAATGATCCTCCGCTCAAACAACGCGAATGATCATGTCTAACTTCTGCTACGTCGATATTTGCTCCATACTTATATCCAGTGTTTTCAGACGGCCCTAGGCCACAAGAATATGCATTGGACGGCGTGGCGGGAATTGATCCGATTTATTTCCTTATTCGTCAGTCGGGAGCGCACTAAGCGCCAAAGGAAAGTGCGCCACCCCTCTACCCAGTTTCGTCTACATCCACATGAATCATCGCCGTCGGTGACGTGCAAATCATTCGTACATTCCTTGCCGAATGCGCTGAGCGCTCTCGGAAAGGCTAAAAATCCTGGAGAGGATGAAGCCGTAGGCAACGTCTCCGATTATCGAGAAATTGGCAACGAATAAGTTGCCTACACATTATATGAAAGCCCTGTAATAGCGTCACGATAAGATATAAAGTACAAATGTCCGTTAAAATGTCTGTTGAGTCGTAGATCATGATGTGAGTGCATAGGCGGGTGGTGGTTCGCGTATTTCGGGTGTCGCGGGCGACGATGTCCCTTCCACGCCCCGATCGCCTTCGCGTTCGCTGAGCTCTGTGATACGCCGTTGCAGCTCTCGAATCTTCCGGAGATTTGCTTCCTGCTCCTGCTCCGTAGCTCCTGGACGACCCTCCAGCTTGTGGATCTCCATCATCAACCTCTGCACCTCGCGCATACGCTCCAAAAGGCTCGTTGGGACCGGCTCGGGGGGACCGGGTTCTTGCAGTGAGTCCACTGTGAGCACGACAGGGAACTCAGAAGAGGAGGGTTGGGTGGATGTATGAGAGAGCGCGGTAATAGGGAGAGCTGGATATTGAGAAGTCGGTGCAGGAGAAGGGATGGGCATATTCAAATGGGTACGAGGCGGAGGAGCGTTATCGTTCGGAGGACCGGGGACATTCGACGCAAATCGCTCTCGTTCGTAATACTGTAGAAGGATTGGATTCTTAGGTGGTGGCAGTCGTACTTCTGATTACGGATTCAGCACTAAAGCAGTCTGGTGAATTTTGGATGAAGGACTTACCGGGAGAACGTAGGTTTCTCTTACACCTACAAACAAGCATGAAGGCAGACAAAAAGACGATCACCACCACTGGTATCGCGATGTATAACGCGGTATTCTTGCTAGGACCGGGGAGGTTGGTGGATACAGTAGCCATCCGGATGCATGAAACGAGGACGAAGAAGCCCTGCTTTTATCTAGTCTGCAATCTTGGCAAGGCTGTGTCCAGGCTCTCATCGACTCCAGACTGACCACATGGCTTGTTGGAACAGAGTCTCAGCGGCCATGTCCTGAAAGGCTTCGATACGCATCACAGCCCCCTCAACAAACTCGTGTGGCGTTGAGTATCCATGTAGTCCTCTCTTCACCTGTACATTCAACTTTGAGTCGACTCGTCTCAAATTCAAGTCCTCTTTCTGAGAAACTTAAGCCACCTCACCTACAAATATTTTGGTCCGCGGGTTCTTGGGTGCCCAAAGCGGGTTCCTCAGGTCACCAGGTTGATGGGCGTCTTCCGCATGCCGTGAACCCGCTATGTCAGACAATAATATCCCACGTCGATTTATGTATTATAATAACATACCGACGGCTACCACACTTCCCTGAGCGCTCTCTTCTTCCAAGTGAAACTTCCGTGTTCAGATTCATTCCACGAATTACGATGCATTGGCATTGGATTTAGACGAGGGTGCGGACCCATCCCCTCGGCCATGGCTGGCACTGAATTTGAACATACAGTAGATCATGAATTCTCAGAACACAGGTCGCCTGCCCACAGAGGAGAGGAGGGTCGATGACTGGGATCCCAGTATTCTGTGCTCCACTCGGACAATGGGACTAGAGTATCCACGAGTACGGTGGGCAGCAGGACTTTGAGAACACGCTATCGAATCCTCAACGCCCTGCCAAGCCTGTCAGAGCCAAAGTAACGAGTCCCAAGGGTGTAGATGTCCGTGACGAAGTGTTGGAATAGAGGAAATGCGTTTATCAAGTCGCCTCGAAACGTCTTCGCGGAGCCTGTTAAGGCAGGCCCCTCTGCGATCTTGATAATTCAAAACCCGAGCTTCTCTTCCCAGATTATCGGTTGGACATCATTTCGATGAAGGAAGTGTAGAGGAAAGGCAAGAATGACTCACGAGAACCCCAGAGCAATTTTATGAGGCTGGAATTATGTTGCACTTTAATTTGACACCCAGGGACCGCAAAAATGCCGCACTTGCGAGGCAAATCGAGGCATCTTGATTAGCGCTCTTGAGAACGGAGATATCGGCCACTGCTCATGCTGCGAGATCGGAAAGAACGAGGAGTTTGAAGATGGGACTTGGAGCAGGCAGAGACGTAATTGGATCGTTGGAAGAGTCTTTACAGTTTCAGGCACGACCTCGGCCAGGCTCGCTCTGTCAGCGATGGGGTGAGTGAATAGAGAACATAGTTTCTGAAACCTCTAGATAGACTCTAATCGAAGATGTGAATATCGGTAGGGATCATGAAAAAAGTGCTTGCATGCGATACACTGACACCTTCGTTCATTCATCCGAGAACGCGCTCGCCTGAATATCGTACAAATTCGCGTACTCTCCCTTCTTCTGTATTAGCTCCTCGTGCGTGCCCATTTCGACGATCGAGCCTTCCTTCATACATCTAGGCAACCCGAGATCAGCTTCGTAGTACTGAGAAAAACATAGAACGAAAGCAAACGAAAGCGTACATTATTCGGTCAGCATACTTCGTCAGATGTCCGAACCGATGGGTGACGAAGATGACGGTCTTTCCTGCCCGAGCGGCGATGAGCTTCTCGAAGAGCTTCAGCTCGGCATTGGCGTCGAGCGCTGAACTGGGTTCGTCTACGGCGACGAACTTGACCTTGCCTGACTTGAAGCGCATGAACGACCGAGATCTAAAGGTCCAGGCCAAACACGATCAGCACCAACGAACAAAGGTCAAAGAAGAAGCAAAAAAAAAATTTCAAAAACGTACGCGACGACCTTCTGTCTCTCACCACCCGAAATATCGGTCTGCTTCTGGATCCTCTCCATCTCCTCGAACAGCGGGTGTGATGGATCCACATCCAAATTATGTCCAAAAGTTTGGACGTACGGGTCGAGCGTCGTGTCCATCCCTTCCTTCAACTTCTTGATGAAGCCAAATGCTCCGCCATCCCTCGCAGCGTCCTCGATCATCTCTCGATCGAAAACACGGTCAGGGAAGCCCAGACCGATGTTCTCGGCCAGAGACAGAGGATAGATAACCGTGTCTTGACTGAGCAAAGCCGTGGCTTGGTGGAGGTCTTCGATGCGGTAGCTTTTCGAAGGAAGGTCGTCGATGTAGATCTCGCCGGAATCGGGATCGTAGAGCCGGGAAAGGATGCGGATGAGGGTTGACTTGCCGCTTCCGTTGGCCCCGACTATGACGACGAGCTCGCCGGAATTGATAGTTAGAGAGACGTTCCTTAGGGCAGGCTCAGTGCTTTGGCTATCAGGGTATAAAAAAGAGATGTCGCTGGAACGGGAAATTGGTCAAACGACAAACTCTGAACAATCGACCCAACCTACCGCAGAGAGAAAGACATTCCATTTGTTGCCTTCTCGGACATCGGCCTGTCGACTCGAGGGTACGCAACATCGCCGTCCGCGAGCGTGTTGACGACCGTTGGTGCTGTATACAGCATTCGCATTGTCGTCAGGCTCTTCCTAAACTCAGTGAGCTGGAGAAAGACCATCTGAACCGACATCCGTAGCGTTATCGACGACTGCTGAACAACGGCGAATGTCACAAGCGAAATGCCCTTATTGTCGAGCAGGACAGAGAGAGCACAATACGCCTGAGTGATCTTCAGCACGCTGAGCTGCAGGAAAGAAAAGAGGACATACGATTGGCAAGTCTCCGAGCACTCTCGCTATCATATCGAATAGAGGACTTCGGTGTTCGCCATACTCAAGCATCGGATGATTAGCGGGAGTCTCTCCAAGCTTTTCATGGGCCTTCCGGAATTCTGCGCTTTCGGGTGAGAACGCTACTTTGAATTGAGAGAAGGCGAAGCAGACCATTAAGAATCCATGGGGCAAGACTTCCACTGACGATGTCCTGTCGGAATTCTGAGGAGGTAAACTTGTGGAGCGTTTGCATTCGCTCATAATGTTTGTTATCCACGTAGGCAAAGAATACTAGAAGGGGCAAGATACCGCGATGAGTTGTCGTTCGAAGCACCAGCAGCGCAGAGCCTCACTTTTGGTCCATATCTCCTCAGAATAAAAGGTCATGAAGAGTGGTTCGGCAATGGACAACAGGCTGAACAACGGTCCTGCGGACGAGTTGAAGAGCCGCGCAATGAGAGCGAGCTGAGTCCCAACACGAAGGACTTGCATGAGGAACCTGATGATGCTGTCGAGGGCTTCCCAGACTTGAGCGGCGGTTACTGGCTGCTTGCTGCTTATCTCTGGAAAGGTGAGACAGTCCTTAGCAAACCCTGAGGCACGGTCCGCTCGCGAAGAACCGTGACTTACTCTGAGATGTAGGTAAGTCTTGTCGAAGATCGGCTGAGATTCAGACGAAAGAAACGCTTGTTAGACCGTGACCGACCTCTACGGGACGCATATACCTGTCATCAGAAAGAGCTCATAGTGTCTAGTGACTTTCGCTTGGAGTATCTTATAGATTTGATGTCTCAACGATCGTCAGCTTCATGAGCAAGACCAAGGTGATAGTAAATCCACGAACCCGTGCCACTTGAAGAATGCGACAGTCAGCGAACAAAACAAACGCGCAAAGACGGCTGTCAAGATTGCTGTACGGTCAGGTTTGCCACTCTTGATACCTGCTTCAACCTGTAAGGAAGGAACACGATCTGCGTGTCAGTGCGACGATAAAAGAAGACGATAGTAGCTACTTACCGTGGTCAGCAATAAATTGGAAAAGAACATCAAGACGGCGTCCTCTATCCCTTGCCAAACTTGACACAGAAGGAAGAGTACGAAGTACCTCGGAGCGACCCCATAAATATCGCTGGCGAGTAGTCGAAGAAGAGGCAAAGTAGATTTCAAATCTTCATAGTGTTTTCTCCCAGTAGCGCCGACGAGCCTTGGATCGTGGGCGACTTTGAGAATCCAGACACCGAGGCGCGTCTCCCGGATGCCGTGTTTGGGCTGAACCTCGCTCGCTGATGGTTTTCTTGCCATCTTTTCCGGGGCCATGGACGTGGAAGATCTGAGGCACTATCGCGAACGAAAGTCAGCAACCTCCAATGAATGGACAGGTGGCAATATATACCAGATGACGTCTGCGCCTATCGAATTGAGAAAGGATCTGATAATGAGAATCATCGCCCGCAGCGCCAGGGCGATGACTCAACCGATGAACCCGGAGTATGGAAATCCAGTTTGGGCAATAGTAGGGGGATAGGGAACGCGTGTACAGCCTTCAGCGATATTTCATGTTGAACAGGAGTTCTAAGATTTAATTGGAGGGAACGCTCAGCAAGGTGAAGGAGAAGAAAGAGGGCCGGACTTTGCCGGCTGGCCAATGTCGGAGTCAAGCAGCTGAGTAATTCCGCTCCTTCGTTCTCACGCACTTTCCTTCCACCCCAACCTCCATCACCCGTTCATCGACAATGGCAAAGAAGAAGAATAAGCAGGTAAGCATGCCTATCCCCGTGTCGATATGGCTCTTATGAGGTCAATTCAAGCTTATCCGACCCTGGTGTTGGTATTGTGAACGCGAGTTCGAAGATGAGAAAGGTGCCTCAGACGCATTCTTCTCAAAAATACCTTTACTCATTGCAAGCCAGTCTTGATGCAGCACCAGAAGGCCAAGCACTTCAAATGTGGAATGTGCCCTAGAAGGCTCAACACCGCTGGCGGTTTGGCGGTCCACATCCAACAGGTACATAAGCTGGAGCCAGACAAGTGTGTCTATCTTTCCCCATCGTCTTGGTACATTTATTCATCCTATTCTTTAGCCTTCCACGTATCGAAAATGCCCTTCCTGGACGAGATGGATATGAAGTGGAGATATTCGGGATGCAAGGCATTCCAGCACCGGATGTCGCGGACTACAAAAGGCGGAAGGAGATCGAACTGGGGTTAGCCGCAGGCACGATCTCGCAACCGCAACCCAAGAGAGCGAAGATTGAGAACCGACCCATCGCGGAGGATGAACTCCGACGCCAACTGGAAGAGCACAAGGCGTTGATGGGGCACAACCAAGCTGAAAATTCGACAGCACCAGAATCGAGCTCCGGCGCTGTGTATGGTGCTCCTCAGACGTATGCTGCCCCGCCTGCGCCCGCGGCTCCTCCTGTCGTGCCGCCTCCTGGTATGCTTCCCCCTGGTATGCCTCCTCCAGGTGCTTTCCCCGGCGGACCGCCTCCTTTCCCTCCGTTTATGCCAGGATTCCCGCCAGGGTAAGTTCTCACTTCCTGTTTGCTCGACGTTCGATTAAAATTTCCTCCTACAGCGGTCCACCTCCTGGTTTCCCACTGCCCCCAGGCGCAGTTCCACCTTTCCCACCAGCTGGTATGCCTCCTTTCCCTCCCGGGCCACCCGGGGCTCCAGGTCGACCCCCTTTCCCGCCTCCACCAGGATTTGTGCCAGGAGGTCTTCCTCCACCAGGGTTTGGCCCTCCTCCAGGTGTTCCTGGCGCCTCTCCTCCACGTCCAGCCGCGCCGCACTTCGTTCCTGCGCAGATGCATCAAAACCAAGCCTCGCCTCCTCCGCCTTCCTCGACACCCGGTGCGAGTCAGCCGGCTACACCGGCACCGCCACCTCAGCAGCCCGCGAAGCCAGAACCACCTCGTCCGCAGGAGCCAGTACGTCAGCCCAAGTTGACCCTTCCAAACCCCTCTCTTGCGCAGACGAACCCCGAGTTCAAGAAACCTACTGATTTGAAAGTCAAGGACGCCAATTTCTCTCCAGTGTGTACCTTTTCTTTCTTTACTCCATGGAGCGGGAAAATTAACTTCGATGCAGGAGGAACGTCGTGCCATACACCCCAAGTACTTCTACTCTGGCGTTGACACGTCGCAGCCGTCTTCAAGTCATGCAGAAGAACCGCGTGGAAAGAAGCGGGCTAGAGCGGAAGATTTCTTGTAAAAGGTATGCATGCCTGCTTTTTGATCACTCTTTGGTGTTCTTACGTCGTTTTCCTACTAGCCAATGTTGAGTTGGGAGGAGAAAAAATGTTGGACCCGATCAGTCTGTCCCATCATGCACCACATCCGTCGTTGCATGCACTCTACTTATTACCACCCCGAGGCTGAGACACGCGTTCCTGATCGTCATCGTGCTCGTCGCCGCACCGGCGTCCTGTCTTCTCGCTTCTCGTCTCCTTTTTTCTTCTCATCCTCATGCTGTGGCTGCTCGCCGCTTGCTCGACGTCGTCTATATAGGTTCGTGTATCATTCTTGTGATTTCGCTCATGGCACATGCCTCGTATGTATTCTCTGTTTTGCGGTACGTCTCGCGACGGTTAGTCTCTTCCCCTTCTTTTCTCTTTTTAATCGTATATGTCGTGAGCATCCTCATCCACAGCCAAGTGAAGGTTGGTCTGTTTGTGTGATCTGAATGTCCGTCTAGGTTAACCGTTAGAGCGGTGATTGGGCTCAAAGTAGTCCGCCTACATTCGAATGGCCAATGGCCGCAAATGATCTTATTGTCCATCCAGAAATATGATCCCAGCCGTCCGTCGTACCCTTTCTCTGCTGGCGTGGGTGAAGTTGATCGATCTCTTGCAGATGTCTGTCTTGACTGATCTTCCGCCAACTTGGGCCATGATATCTTCTTGCGAGGTTCGTCGAATCGCCTTTTCAGCTTGCTTTCGATTGTTTTCATTGTGTACGGACGTGTGTCGTACTTCGACCCAATTATACACTGATTGGACCTTATCCGGATGGCTTTGGCATGAGTTTGAGCGGTGGTCTGTGCGCGCTGCGCCACTCGGTCTGCCGGGCCGAGCGTAAAAGCCGAAGGGCCTTCAACATTTCAGCTCGCGATTGACTGCGATGAGACTGGAACTCTGAGGTTAAGATGGGTGTTCGTTGGCCGTCGAGTTCGCGTGCAGAGATGATGATGATTCTTAAGAACAAAGGATTCGAAATAATTCTGAAAAATTAGCATCAAAGAGTCCAACTGAAATGGTCCAAAAAGGGACTCACGTTGAGTGCGACTGTCCGCCATGGATCCTTCATGAGGCAAAAGAAAACTCTTGATGGCTAATTGGATTGGCGTCCATGCCTCGATGTCTGGTTGCAGAGTTATACAAGTTGACTCTGAAAAGAAACCGACTTTCAGGCAAATTCAGATCGACGCACTTGGATAATTACCTATTCAATCTTCGGATGATTTTTTGGAAGACAAATCGATAATAGCTTAAAGAGGCGACCTTTCAGGACCGAGGAAGTGGGGCGGTTGGCGGGAGGACACAAACTCGAACGCCCAGTATTTGTGAAACCTTAGCGAGAGAAAAAAAAGTCCCACACTCGGCTAGCAGCTTGCTTCTCCCCTGCTTACCTCCTCTGCGGTTCACTACCTGTCAAATCCAAAATCTGCTACCCTGCATTCCCTGTTATCTCCAGTCAATCATACTCATACCCAGATACCTCGAGATAAATTCTGTGAATCGCTCACGGCTCCATTGCACACCTTATCGAGTTAGACTACGTCGACACAATGAGTCTTCGGACAAGAAAGCAACGGGCCATTGGTAAAGATTATCCTTGCAATTATTTTCTACACAAGCGCCCGTACGCTGTATTGCCTGAAAGACGCCTCAAAGCCTCATGGACGACTGCCGAGGCGGACAAGTCTGGACTGTCTGTTAAACACGTATCATTCTGCGATCATTTGAGCACGCCCTTTCTACAGCAACACACCTGTTGTAACCATGCAAAGAACGGAAAGGCGAAGCTCAATTATCTCAAGAGGATGAAAGTTAAGCTGATGCCGTTAACGAGAATGATTCACCTTTCCACCCCACTATTGAATATAGGCTTCCAAGTTGCTCAAAAATGAATTCCGACTAGCAAAGTAGCTTTACAAGTACAGGGTGCAATCTTCCCGCAGAGATTCACACCGTAACGGCATGATGGACCCAATTGGCTACCTTGGGGCACTATCGTCGCTTGGAAGTTGTAACAACATTTTACCTTTAGGAATTTGAGTTCCCTTTCACAACAGAACATGCCTTCTGTTTTGTCCCTATTTAAATGGTAGGAACGACTCCACCAGCTTTGTTACGCTCGGTCGACAACGACATCTTCACCGCAAACACATCCCCCTCTCAAAACCGCCCCCGCGCTAAATATGGTCCAGCCTCAAAGCATGGTTTCTGGGGCCCGGCACACCAAGAACATCCAATCAGCCACCCAAACCACCCGTACAGCTAACGTCGCCCCCTCCACCCATGGCGCCGACGCTAATACCACGACCACCGATGCCACCGATGAAGGAGGCCAACCCCCACTTCTTAACCGCATCGTCGCATTTTTTTGCTGTGGGGCAGCGGTTTGATGCGCAAATGATAGAGGAATTTGGTACTCAACATGCGAGGTGAATTTCGCGCCGTTACACCAAGTTACTTAAGACTAACGCACGGTAGGGGTACGAAATTCGGAGAGCAGAGACGACAAATAAAGTCAGTAAGAAAGATCAAGTAGAAGTCAATGCAAGGGCGTCAAGTTCTTCTTGCTTCAATCGTCCTATTTCTTGGCACATAGACGATCCATCCGCACCCCCGCAGAGGAGTTTCGGCTCGTAATTATCCCATCCGCCATTGGATTAACATTTACTTTCGATCATACGTCGCTCAAGTACTCAATATTGTGTTCAAGTACTCGGAGCACGGCGGCTGGAGGTGTTGTTTTTTAGGAGGGATTTTCCCGTCACCGTGGTCGGAGTTTCCGTATACTCTGGTGGAGAGATATTTCTTGGAAGCGTTAACAACTTTTTTATCAACTACGTTTAATTGTAAAACACAAAACATCGTTATTCCCCACCGAATTGGATTCATATATTCCAAGAATCGTGAGGTCCACTTTCAGATAAGATAAGATCCTACCTCACTTGCCCGATAAACAGCCCGGCCCGTCCCTTTGTACAGGAACTATCACTAAGAACGACTCAACCTCTGCCAGAATCTGGCTGTTCAGCAATCCGTTATACTTCTTTCCGTCTATTTGCCCATATAATATCTTTTCCTTTCGAGGCCCACAGACGCTGGGCAATTTGATCTTCTCAAAGAAGCCGACATCGTGACGTATTTCTTCCGTCTCGGCTTGCTTTCACTTGTCCATATTCTCCTCCACGACGATGAGTGGCCCACTCGTCCTTGATCGCTCGAACTTGAGCAACGAAGAACCCGTACTATCCTACGATTCCAATCTATCCTCAGCACAAACAGCCAGAGATCAAAGAACGCCTACCCAAATCTTCCTCAACTGCCTCTTCACCCTCCTCATCTGCATCTGGTTCTGCTGTCGCCCGAACATCCCTGTTACACCACCACCTCACACGAAATGGAGGGAGTCGTGGATACCCATCATCCGAGCCCGCGTCACCCTCGCGATCTGGCTCCTCCTTTCACCTCACTTCGTCCTCGTCTGGGCCTTCCGTCAGTGGCGAGGTGCCACTGCTTTGAAGGAAAAATACGCCAACTCTGGGCCAGGATGGACGCGTGCACACGGGTTCATGATGAATATGGGCGGTTTCATGTTGTACAAGGAAGGCCTAGCAACGCAGGTGCTCTCTCCAAAATCCTTTGAGACCCTGTGGAGATTTGGCGCGATCGATTTTCCATGGACGATGGAAGAGGAGATCGTAGATCGAGGAAATTCGGGCGTGGCCCTTGCACTATGTTTTGGCCTCCAGACGGTGTGGTTTGTTGGACAATGCATTGAGAGGATGGCAAGGTATGGAAGGGACGCGCTCACACTCCTCGAGCTCGAGACGGCGTGCATCGTAGTCGTGAGCTGGGTAACCGCAGCCGTTTTTTGGGAGAAGCCCCTCGACTCCCGGGTTCCAATCCGCGTTGACCTCAAGATAGAGATCGAGATACCGGACGAGCGAGAACCAGGATTCTTCTTTCCGATGTTCGAGAACACCAATGCGGAGCAGTGGAGGGAGGAGTCGATCCAGCGCAAGCTGCTGGCCATCCTAGCTGCAGAGTATGGCCACGATCCTCCCCGAATCGAGCGAAGATGTTCTCCCTTTACAAGCGTCCTCCAAAAACTCTGCCTCCCGTTTAGATGGATCATAACTTCCCTATACGGACCCTACAACCTGATCGTGTACTCCCCCAGATCTTTCCCCCGTGGAATTCTGACCGTCCCAACGTTCTACCACATCGACGACAAGGCTCTCGACAAAGTGATGTGGCTTCAATCCCTCGGTAATATCATCTGGCTGTTAAATGGAGCGGCCCATTTAATCCTTTGGACATCACCTCAATTCCAGAACTCTGAGTCGCCTATGTGGATGTGCCTGTGGCGCATTTGTGTTGGGATGACTATCGCTACCCCCGCGTTGTTTTATGCTTTGCAGCTGCTAAACAAAGCGAGTAGACATCTCCCGCGTAACGGGGTGGGTTTACTGTTGCTGATTGTTTTTGTGGGATTTGCGGGATTAGTGGGCCTACTCGGCGTTTTGGTTTGCGCGGTGGCCCGCGTCATATTACTCATACAAGCGCTGCTCTCCTTGACCTCTATGCCGCCTCAAGGCCTCCAGAGCGTCGAATGGACAGGATATATTCCACATTTCGGTTGATCGTCGTTGTGACTCCGTCAGGATCCCTCGTATCATTTCCATCAGCGGTACAGTCCTACTACTTATGATCCAAATATCCCAACTCAATAAGTAATTTATCCATTGGCTACTATTATTTCTCCAGGTTGTGAACGCGAATTGCACTAAGATTGATTTCATTGCCTCCTAAATTTCGATCGGATGTCGTGCCACAATATCCTAAATTGGTAGGATCCCCGGACACGTCTGACTGTTGACGCAACCTGAAAATAATAGGCTGATTGTCATTTTTTCAACGGCAGTTTTTTGGTTATAGGATCAGGGATTTTTTCTCGACGCGCAAGAAACAGGGATGCTTACGAGGTACGTTCCTAGCAGCAAGGAAAATTCCGTCGGACTCCAATTGTATTTCGTAGAATGAGCGAGCGGTCAATGCAGCAAACCCCCTCGCAAATCGTAAGCATACACGCTGACTGCAAGGACGGTAATGAAAGACGCCGAGCCAAAATCGAAAAGGACGAAGCTGTTTGCAGGGCAATGAGGACACCAACAAGGAGGCTAAGGATACAGACAAGAAGCCTCATGTTTTCAGGCTGCGGGTTGCTTCAAACGTCTGCAGAGCGTTTCGGAATTGAATGTTTTCCAGACGTACTTCGAGCCGCCATCGACACCGCCATAACGGCTTCATGCCCACCACATGTCATCCGGACCGGCCCAATCCGTCGGACCCACAACTCCTTTTCCGCGCGACGAATGCCCTTCTGAGCAGTTAGCAGGTGAGAACTGATCAAGAAAATGATTAAAAGTGACTCACAATATGCACCGAAGAAACGCGTGTTGGTGTGAAGGCGCGTTCTTACGTCTGAGAGCGCGTGTGGGCACATCAAGAAACCGTTGTGTTTCCGATCCCAGCGAGTAGCGACTTCTCGAGAGGAAGCTGAAAAGAGTAGGCCGCGACGCTGTCCGGCATACGCAATTAGTGGGCGATAGTATGATCTAGGCGAGCACTGCCCACCTTCCACCCTTTCTGTCGTCCTCCCCTTTGTCGAACGGCGAGCGGGGCGGAGAACACGCGTTTGTTCGGGATATATACTCTTTTGTTTCGACGACTCTTGCGTTCTTCCCAACAACAACGGGAAGAAGAAGGAAGACCGAATTCGTACCCCGCTCCGTCATCCCACCCAGGCACCACACAGCAAAACAACACGACCACAACAACCCTTGCACTGCAACCTCGACCACGATTTTGCACAACGAAACGATGACTGAAATTCCAACGCTGTATCAGGACCTTTCCTCAAGCTCTTTGCATCCGCCTCCGGCGCGAGAGGACGCGCAGATGTGCTATGCGCAGCTCTCCGCGTCCGAGATGGGTATCCTGGCCTTCGCGCGTCTGATGGACGACGCGAGTGGCAACGCCGTCGCTGAAGCCCCACCATTCTGGCTCGAGCCCACTGCGCCTCTGACCACCTTCTCGCCAAAGCCAACCTACGCCACTACTGGTCCGTGGACCCAAGAGACGATGACCCCTACCACCGTCGATAACGCCACCGACTGGATCGCACAGCAAGCTTTCGACTGGACCTTGGCGCCGCATTCTCCTACCCCATCCCTCTCCTCCTTCGCGTCCACCCTCAGCCCATCACCGTCGTCTCCAGCCCCTCTCACCCCCGATGGCTTCAACTTCGGTTCCGATCTATCCATGGACTGCACTGCGTACCAGGCCACCCTCTTCGACAACCGAGCAGTACCCTTCGGCCTCGTTGATCCCGTGTATCATCAATCGATCGATGCAATCTACCCAACGTACTCGCCGCCGCGTCATGACGCCTGGCACCCGCCGTCGACAATTCAATCGATTCATCCATCGCATGAGGTCGACCAACGTCGACCAGCGTCGGGTGCCCAGAGGACCTCCAAGAAGACACGATCGCTAACGTCTGGCCCATACGACAGAGCATCCTCCCATCGCAAGCAACACATCGCAGACCACCAACGCCTCAACTTCCCCGACGAACGTGACAAGCCTTATCGTCGTGCTGAGCAGCAGCCGTGCGCGACGCCAGCGGCCAGGCATCGAGTCCAGCCAGGCGGTCTCTCGGTGCCATCTCCAGGTGATCCATTCGGAAGTTGGGCCAACCAACACGGAGTTTCTCCTCCGTCAACGCTGGAGGAGAAAACACCCAATCATGTATTATCGAGCCAGTGGGTAGGGAGCGGCGCATCCGCCGCTCCTACCCCGGTTCACCAAAGGAAATCTAGGAGGAACCCTAGCACGAAGTACGTGATGGCCATTCTCTCCTCTGCCGCTTGACTGACGAGTTTTGCCTCAGGCCGCCTCAAGAGACGAAGGCCGCCAACCAACCGGCCACTCGCAAACCCAGGAGGGATGACGGCTTCGGAAAGTGGGGAAACCCAGTTCCAGACGAACTAACCTTCGTCCAGACGTAAGCCAGCTCGTCCTTCTGTGGAATTGGCTGACATACCCTCCATGCAGAGACACGCACCCTCAGCTTAGAGACCGCTTTATGCTCTTCAACGGCCCACCTACTCCGACGGCTGCGCAGATGGAGGGCAGTAGTTCAAAACCGATTAGGGTGAGGTGGAACTAGATGAGGAAGAAGTGTAGAATTGCAGTTGTGGATTGAAATATTTTATTAAACACACCGTTTTCCCGGCTCCTGCCACAGAGCGTTGAGGGATGATCGATCCTGAGATACGCCAACGCGGATTTTAGGTGCGCATCCCAAGCAGAATAAAATATGAATACGATTCAGACACCTAGAAGAACGATAGTCAATCGTAAGATACACTTGACGGCCGTACGATGAAGAATCTGTAAACCTTACACCAATCTGAGGGCCCTCAGAAGCTAGCATCCTGTTGCTTCAGGTCAGGATCCGTCAAGGGAATCGACACCTGAATGTAGCGTCGGCTCTATGAGTAAGACATTATATGGAAGTTGAACGGGGAGGAGGATGTGGACGATGGTGGGTGAAGAAAAAAGTTGAGGCCACAGTTCGATTTTGTGTCGTCAGCGTGTGAATCCGTGAGATAAGATAAGATGTCAACTTTGTCTTCGGCGGAGACCAACGGCCCAGCCTCCGATACATTGTTCAAGTGAGATTTTCGAGGATAGGTTTCCGACTGCCATTGTACCCCTATTGCAGCCTCCCATGGATACAACGACGAAATTCGACGTCGAATGCAAGCATATGAATTGGTTTATGAGGCGGACAAATTGAGGGATGGGGATTATCGACACTAATATGATGCACTAATATACTCTATACTCGGAGAATGTAACGTTGTCCAAGGTGAAGTGTTATCTAGCGTTGTCCATAAGCCTTGCTCTCGTACCTCCCATCACCAACAATGATATTCTGCGGTTCCTGAGGGCGATTCTGCAGATAATTCTCGAGGATCGTCTTCGTCCCATTGGCATACCTCGCCTGTGCATCGAGTGTCGTGCCAGAATAGTGAGGCACCATGCCGTTTCCGCCTCCGAGATGATTCTTCATCGTGCGCCAGATGTGGTCCTTCGGCGCTGGCTGAACGTTCCAGACATCGCCTGCATATCCGTTGATCTGGCCGCTGGCGAGGGCCGCGGCGATGGCATCCTTGTCGCAGATGGCACCGCGGGCGGTGTTAACGATCCAGGCGCCCTTCTTGAAGTGCTTCAGGAGGTCAGCGTTGATGAGTCCGCGGGTGCCTTCGTGAAGAGGGCAGTTGATGGTGACTAGGTCGCACTAGAAAGATATCAGCCTAAGTCTAAGACTAGACAACGAAGACATCTACCTGAGAAACAAATTCCTTCAGATCTTCAACACGACGAGCACCGACAGACTCAGCAGCAGCAGCCGGAAGAGGGCTGTAGTCGTAATAGAGCAGCTCCTTGCAGTTGAAGGGCTGCAGACGTTGCAACACACGATACCCAATCCGTCCAGCACCGAGGGTCCCAACAACCTTGCCCTCCAAGTCGAACGCGTTCCTTGCAATCTCAGATACCTGCCAATCTCCGCGCTCGATCATCTCGTGAGCAGGAACAAAGTTCCTACGAGCAGGAGGACGCTCATCATGACGTGCTCGGCGACGGAGACAACATTCGATCCGGAGACTTCGAGGACTTGGATGTTGTGGTCAACGGCGGCGTCGAGGTCGATGTGGTCTGAGCCGACACCGGCGGTGATGCAAATCTTGAGATTCTTCGCCTTTTCCATGAGCTCTCGGGTCAGGTAGCCCGGGTGGAATGGGGTTGTGATGAGAATTTCAGCCTATCGTTGAAATCAGTATAAACAATCGAGCACAAAGGCGAATTTATGTATACATCGACGATATGCTTCTGGAAGTCGCTGTCCGGTCCCTCCTTGCTACTGGACACCTAGAAGCACACATTTATACCGAATCTCTGGAAATAGCAGTCCGGTGACATACAATGAATTCATGTCCTTGAGATTCGAGCCATTGTTGAATACCAAGCTAATAAAGCTGTCAGTGTCGAGAAATAGAAGAGGATTGGGGGATGATTACCTTGTTCTCGACGGTACCTAGGAGACGGGGCTCATTGGTAGCAGCTTCACCGCCCTGATAGAGGATAGCGAGGACCTAGAGATCACAGTCCCGAAGTCAGCGAACAGAGCAAGAGGCGACTTCGTTCGAAAGGCGCTCGCCTTCATGATGGTATCAGAAATGTAAGTTGGCTTGAGAGTGGTTGTTGCTTTGAGGTTTTGAGATGAGAGAGGAGGCGATTGGATTGGAGAACTCGAGGCACAACGGTCAGGCTTTTATACCCTTCCGCTTGTCTGCGAAAACAATACAAGTCCGTGAAGACAAGCGTCAGCAGACGATCCCGTACGCACCGAAACTCGATTCCTCCCGACATCCCGCAGTCAACGCCACTCGCTTGCCCCCACAAAACGGCGTCGACGGGGATTCTTCGAGTGCTAGACGGTCACATGTCGTCATCTCCAGTGGAAGCCGTTTTGTCCCGCAGTTCGGAGACTATTTTGGGTAATCTATCCAAAGTCCGTGAAGACATCCCGAAGGACCCGACCGTGGGTCAACGGGGGCGTTGATAATTTGGGACCCGTCTTCCTTGTTTGAGGGATCTTGGCGGCGTGTGCAAGACGGACATGCACGGGCGACAATCGTCATCCGATGGCAGTTCATTCATTGTGCATTAAGGCCCGACCAGTTTCTTCCTCGGAGACAAGTGCGCGTGGGCATAAAAGCGGAACGGATCGACGTTTAGGTTGGAGAACAGCGTGGACACGGCTTTCTGTGGGGTAAAGAGGTGGAAGGTTGGTCAGAATATTGCATTTCGCGAAAAACGGTGGAGATTAAGGCGACTCACGTACTATCCAAGCCGTCAACCAAGTCCAAGGCTCATATTCTGGCTTCCAGGCGGGAATATCGTGGTTAGGGAAGACATGAGACGGGTGTATGCGCGTTTTCAAGTGAACGGCATGGCGGTCAGAGATCAAAGGGTTTGTTTGTGATTGTGTCAGTCGACAAAGAAGTTCGTTTCTTGACCGTCATTAGCGCAGCAAGAGAACCTCTTCATTTATTCCCTTCACGCACAGTGGCTCTAGACGACTTCTCGATTGCAACATGAAACCGTAAGCAGCATTGACGTCCAAGGTAAGCTGTAGCCAATAACTCGAAGGAAATTTATTAACATAAAGCCTCATTCCAAGTAGATGAAGAAAGCAATCGCCAACGAGCTCCCTTTCGACGTGCTCTTCTACATTTTCACGCTACTTCTGCCACCGCATAGCCAGTCCAATGATGACCGTGGGCAGACTCTATGTTTGCAAGCCACAGCTCCAATGTCGCTTTGTTGTGTCTGCTCATCGATATCATGGAGACACGCTGCGCTAGGAATGCCGTCTCTATGGTCCCATTTGACCATCCCAGTGACGATTTGGAAGCTGCACTGCTACATAACATCGTCCTGGGTGAAGAAAGAGCCATACTTTCATCAAAATATTACAGAACTACTTGAATGGTGCAGGATTAAACGCTGCCCACCACTTCGCGCACCTTCGACTCGAATTCTATCAGGAGAACACCGACGAGGGCATTTTCGATGCAGAAGGCAACTTCATTCAAGGATTAAACACGGAAGAGAAAGGGTACCAGCCCGTCAAGCAGTTCTTCGCCAGTGACACGTTTCAATCGGTCAAAGATTTGGATCTAGCGCTTCCACCCAGAGTTGTCGAACAAGCGTTGACAGTCAAATCCCCAGGCGTGTTCAAAGACCTCGAATTCCTTACCCTTCGCGCCCATGTCAACAATTTGAACACAAGTCAGCCTTCCAAGCGTGTGGTCAACGCCAAATTCCCCTCCTTGCGCCGCGTACATGTAGCCGGGAAGCAAGGTCTCGTCCCCTGCCTTGGGAACAACTCACCCACCTCAGCATCTCAGCGGAAATTTCTCTTTCTGGGTGGTTCAACCTTCTCAGCTGGTGCCAGAACCTCGAATTTACTGCTATCAAGATCGCTCGGCAGAACATACTCAGCCAGGACGACATTCTTCCACCCAATCCCAGCCCGCGTTTACGCCACTTAACCTACTGGGCGAAGGATACCGACCTCTGTGTTCCCTTTCCAAACTTGAAAGCTCTTCGCCTGGTACAGGATGCCAAAGATGCCATTCCAATACAAGGTTTTTCGGGGCTCCGGAACAATCTCTCCTGTGCTAAATCTATCACCGAACTCCACTTGAACGCTTTTATTTTCTGCTCCTACTACTCCGGGAATCGCATCTTTACTTACAATAATGAAGGCGCAAGCCCTGCTTTGAATGAAACTGTTCCCAACCTCCATGTCCTAGTCATCGACTCTATCGACACGAGCACTGAGAGCAACTGGATGGAGAAGCACCTTATCTGCCTGTTGAAATCTGGGTGGATTCAGTTTTCTCCGATGTATCGGGGACGAGTAGAATTCGTCTACAACCACGGTGATCAAGGTAAGAGTGGGATTGGGGGGAGGTTACTGAAACATGTGGAGAAATATGGATCGTGTTTTCCGAATGGCCCCAGAAGGATGGAATCAGTTCATGGTGTATGAGCTTCCGAAGGGCCTCAGAGGTTGGGATAAGGCGATGGGGTTCTACGACACTGGGTAGGACTGAAATCCGTTGGTCGACGGCCTTTGGATAGAGGATTTATTCCGCGTGATGTAGGGGCCGGCCGTCGAATATATACGTGACTTGTAGACACCATAAAATAGACCCTCGAGTTGTCATTATTGGTCTCCTTTCAAGTTATTTGACGCTCTTTTCCTTCACTAAGTCTATTTTTTTAGACGTTCGAATCACCCTCATGGATATTGCGAAGATTAGATACATATCAGCAAGGTACCATGCCGTAACGTACCCGTAACTAGTAACTCGCAAGCCGAACACTTACGACTTCATGACGCTCTCTCATGTTGTCCCTCAGGTTGACCGGCGTCCTCGTCCTCGCTAGCCGGCTTCATCCCGCCTCTTGTTCAACTCTATTGTCTGAATCCAACACTATCGTGCTACCACGGTCCACAAACGAAGACTTAAGGACACCAGCCCAAATATTCCTCAACTGCTTCTTCACCCTCCTCCTATGCATCTGGTTCTGCGGACGGCCTAACATTCCCGTTAAACCACCACCACACAAAACATGGTACGAATCATGGCTACCAGCCCTCGGAGCCCGCATCCGCATCACGATCTGGCTCCTTCTCTCGCCCCAGCTTATCCTCGTCTGGGCCGTGCGTCAATGGCGAGGTGCCACATCACTGAAGCACACCTACGCTAACCAAGGACCGGGGTGGACGCGGGTGCATGGGTTCATGATGAACATGGGCGGATTTGTGCTGTACAAGGACGGCCGGCCGATCCAAGCGCTCTCACGGAAGAGGTTTGCGAGCTTGCTGAGGGTGGCGGCGATCGAGTTCCCGTGGGTTACGGAGGAGGAGATTACGGACCGGGGCAAGTCGAGCTGGGCCCTTGTACTGCTTTTTGCGGTGCAGACTGGGTGGTTCGTCGTGCAGTGCATCGCGAGGTTGGTTAAGCACGGGCGCTTCGCTGTGACGCTGCTCGAGCTGGAGACATGGGCCATTGTGGTGGTGAGCTGGGTCATTGCTGGAGTGTTTTGGGAGAAGCCCCTGGACGCCAGGGTACCAATTCGCGTCGACCTCAAGATCGAGATGGAAATCTCGAAGGACGAGACGCCGGACGTGGCCCCATTCTTTCCTAGTACCTGGCGGGACTCGAACCGGGAAGAGACGATTCAAAAGAAGGTGTTATCGAGGATTGCAGAAGAATACGGGCTCGACCCCGAACCGCCACGACGGAAACTACATCTTTCGACCTTCCAGACGATCGCAGCAACCCTTATTTTCCCTTTTGTGTGGCCAATCGCACGCATCTACATGGACCACCTCGCCATAACATGCTACCCAAAATCTATCAACCTCCGCGCCTTGACCGCACCAACCTTCTACCACACCGACGAGAAGACATTTGCCGACTTGGGATGGCAGCGCGGCAGTGAGATGTTACTCGGGTTCGTAGGCGCTCTCATTGGCGGTGCTCACTTCGTCCTATGGGGATCGACCTTTCCCAACCACTCTTGGGACCTCCTATGGCGGTTCAGCATCTTCTCCACCACGGCCGTACCAGGCCTTTTCTTCATCCTACACCTCCTAGACGCGCTCGCAGACCGCCTTCCCCCGTTCAGCCTCATACGCAGGTTCTCGCAGGATTTCTTCGCGTTTGCGTTGGCGATATTGGGCGTCCTAGGACACTTGGTTTATGCTGCTGCTCGTGTTATCATCCTAGTCCAAGCCTTGGTTTCGCTAACCTTCCTCACTATCCCAAATATCCAGACCGTCGAATGGACTGGTTATATCCCTCACCTTGGTTAATTGCTCCTTCACCCCATTGTAACTAGTAATCTGTATTAGTACCCATAGATCCTTGTACTTATGCCAACTCATTCGGTGCTGACGGACGTTGACCTGACAAGCAACGGGTGCTCAATAGCAGTCAATCCGCGCTCACATAACGGAATAGCTGCACTTACAAGATGTGTCTGGGTATCAGCGTACAACGTGTAGAGTTCTGATAGAAATGAGACAGAAGATTGCCCGTCAAAAAGAAGTCTGTTGTCACGCGTCCAAGGTGTAGAGATCTACGAACTCTTCAACGCCTTATCTATCCCCCGACATGTGTACATGGTCAGGGAATCACGACAGCATGCGTAGACAGATTCGTTCTTCTGAGCTTCTGAATCCGTTGTCGGTAGTGGTACTAACAAATCTTGACACGAACTATTGGTCTTCTATTTAGGCCCGACGCCGGAGGAGTGTTCAGCTTACTCTCGGACTCGGGGAGGGGGGTAAACAACCTCTCGAAACTGAGTGCCGTAAAGTAGGCAGAGGCAGAGATCTTGGCTGTTTTATTTCTCGTCCCTGAAATGTCAAAAGTGGCATTTCTTTCCGATGCCGGAAAGTGGGTCAGGGAAAATAATGAAACACCGAGACAAAAGGATGGCAGCGCCTATTTTTTGACCATGGTCTGTCCGATGTTCCGAGGTGAAACGAGGGACGAACTCTCATTTTTGAGATGGCTAAGACACACTATTCGTTTCTTCTTCTGCGGTATGTCTAACGCCAACTGCTAGCGAATGATCCCATGATTGGGATATGAAAGCGCCGAAGTGCACTTGGGAACACGCGAGCATTGTGCGATCCCGCACAAAAACAAAATGAGACGACTATACATCCACAACTAATTTCAATGTCTAATATGCATTCTGAAAGTCAGTAAGTAGACCGTCACTCTCTACGGCAGGCTGCCAAGTCTAGAATTTCCAAATATGGTTTCTGTGGCGGTGTGAAGCATCTCGTTCGCGGGATGGTCAGGGCACTCGCATCGCCACTTCCTGGTAAGTTATGTGCAGAATGAGTAGATGTGTTCACGACATCGCCCCAAAGGACCGACAGTCTGGATAATCAGCGCTGTATTGGCGCTTTTGTCCGCTCCTGTCTGGTTCGAGGACTATACGGTGAATTGACCAGTTTGTGATACTGTAAAGGGAAATAAATGTATGTTGTCCGAGGTTACCGACGCTATCTCATGCAGCACTGCTGCGTATTTAGTGCGCCTTTCCTTTATCGTGTCGTGGATGACTGTCATAGGCAGCGCTGGAAATTGTCTACTGAGATCAAACATATCACGGCGCATCATGTTGATGACAGAAACAGACGCAAATGGAGTGCCATTCCGAATGCGCACTACGGCGCACTCGGCAACAAAGTAAATCGGCACGCTGGACCTGTCCAACGCTGTCGGTTTGCAAGGGCGAAACACTATAGCTAATGGCAGTGGCTCTGAATGGCTGCTGCAAAGGTCCTCCCTGGAAACTCCGTCAATCATCGGCGAAGGAGGCTGTCCTTGTCACCCCAACATACCGACACCGACATCGCCAAGTCCAATTCAATTTTACGGTTCCGTCGAGTTCCAAAAGTGGAGTGCCTGTCGATCACTAACACCCCGCGGCCGGAAGCCGTCGAGGATAAAAGGCGGACGGGCGCTGCTTTGGTTCCTCAGCTGGTCTCATCCACCCAACCCACCCTCATCCGACTCAATCGGCGCTGCGTTGAACGCAAGCCCCATCTCTGCCTCCACCTCGCAGCCAATTTAATTCAGTTCTTCGACTCCTTTGACATTCAACAATGGTCCAAATTACCTCCGTCGTTCTCGCCGCTCTCCTTATCGCCCCTTCTCTCGCTGTCCCCGTCATCAACGGTCAGCAACTTGAGGCGTAAGTCAACATATTTTTTCTGGGGGTGCCCAGGATTCACGAAGTTCATTCCTTAGCCGCGAAGATGCTCTCGCTGTTCGTGAGCCCAGCTCCGAATACGACATAGGTCTCGAGCTCTCCGAGCGCGACCTCGAGGATATCCTCGAACGTGACCCCAATTTCTTCAAGAAGGCATTCAAGAAGATCAAGAAGATCGCTACCCCCGCCAATATCGGCAAAGTCGCCAGCTTCGTCGTTCGCGACCTCGAAGACGTCGAGTTTTCAGAGCGCGACCTCCAAGAGCTCGAAGAGCTAATCGAGCGCGACCCGAGCTTCTTCAAGAAGGCATTCAAGAAAATCAAGAAGATCGCCAAACCCTCTCTCCTGGGCAAGGCCGCAGGCATCGCGGGCAATTTCATCCGCGAGGACGCCCTCACCACCCTCTCTGAGCGCGACATCGCCGACCTCGAGGAGCTCGAGGAGCTCGCCGCCCGCGACCCCAACTTCTTTAAGAAAGCGTTCAAGAAGATTAAGAAGATCGCCACACCCGGAAACATCGGCAAGGTCGCGAGCTTCGTCGTCCGCGAGGACGAGCTTGACATGCTGGCAGAGCTGGCGGCACGCGACCCCAGCTTCTTCAAGAAGGCGTTCAAGAAGATTAAGAAGATCGCCAAACCCTCTCTCTTGGGCAAGGCCGCAGGCTTGGCCGGCAACTTCATCCGTGAGGTGGATGACTTTTCCGAGTTCTCTGAGCGCGAGCTCGAGGGCCTTCAGACGCTGGCTGAACTCGCCGCTCGGGATCCCAGCTTCTTCAAGAAGGCGTTCAAGAAAATCAAGAAGATTGCTAAACCATCCCTCTTGGGCAAAGCCGCAGGCATCGCTGGCAATTTCATCCGCGAAGACGCTGGTGAAGTCGAGGATCTCCTGGATCGCGAGTACGAGGAGTTCGATGAGCTTGACTGATTGAAACAGGATTCGAGATGCATACCCATGATCATAACCACACCATGACCTTTTGGGACAATCGGCAGTTGTACACCATTTGTAAAATTCTTGTAAACATACAATTCACTTGTTCATGGGACTACAGAACGGCTTGAGTTTTCAGAAGAGATCAGAGCTTGTCAGAGTTAGACGTACGATGGCAGATATGATCGGGTTTTGGGTTGAGAGTCGAATAGCCTTCGTGATGGTCCGACCAACGAATAGAATGTCGATTCTCCTTCATGATTGCGGCACTCCGTTCGCGATGGAAAAGAGAAATGGATTCAGAAGTGCCAAGCTACACACAAGCAGAAGTGAGAAAACGTCTAGTACAACACCTTGCTCAATCTCTGCACTTCGTTCAACAATACATCCCCTTTCTTCAAGACCTGCTCGTACTTCGCATTCTTCAAGCTTGGCCTCGTTGTCTCCACCACACCGTGCACCTTGTCGATTGATGCGTGCAGCCGGCGGCTGGCGATGAACCGTGACAGTTCAGCGTCCACGAATTCGATGCTCACGCCGAACGCTCCACTGAGGCTCTCGAGCGTCAGGCTGCGATACGACTCGAGCAGCTGCGAGTATGCGAGTATCCGCATCTCGCGCACGTAGTAGCGTGCGTGTGGCGAGAGGATGCGAGACGGGATGAGATGGGTCTGTTCGAGGGTCGCCAGCGCCACAAAGAACTTGTCGTAGCGGCAATCGTACAAGTTTTTCACTAGGTCGCCGAGCACAGGAAGGTCTGGTAGGACTTGGATAACCTCGGGGGCAGAGATGAGGCGTTTTTTGAGGTCGACGCGAGAGAGGTTAAGAGAGTTGGCGATAACGGTGTATGCGACGAAGGAGTTGTAGCTGAGGAGCTCGGTTGCGGTGAAAGTGGATAGGGCATCCAGTAGAAGTTCACCTCCGCGTTTGAATTGCCGGATGGAGATCAGATGCAGGCCGTTGTATACTTTGAGGCGATTCCTGCGGTCCCAATCGCCTCCCTCATCGATCAGCCTGAAGAGACGGTTAGCGGGGTGATAATAAATGCCGGAATATATTGGACGAACTTCTCGGCTTTAGTCATGTTGGCCGTGACGATGCTAGTGTCGCTGAAGAAAAATCCAATGCGGACGATCGTCAGGACGATGTCGATCCGTGAGCCCAGACCTGGCGTCTTTTCAAGCGCAAGTTTCTGGGCTTCTAGAGACCGTTCCTGTACAAAACTTGCCTTCAGCATACAGAAACGAACTTAGTTCAGGAAGACGCACCTTGTCTCCTATCCGCGTAAGATAGTTCGCCCTCGCCTTCAGGGCATCAGAAATCTCTGACTCGCCCTCTGTCTTCTGCGCCTCAGCCAATCTTTCATCCAGTCTCTTCAGCTCTTCTTCGTTCGCCTTCTCCATCTCCTCCAAAAGTGTCTGGTCCAATGGCACTACTGATGACGCTGCTGTTATACTTCGGTAGTACGGACCCATCTCTAGCCAAACATCGTCAGAAAACGCGGCTTAATTGAGAAAATAGGACTTACGATCTGCCTTGATGCCTTCAAGGAGCTCTTTCCGCGCATTTTCGTGCAGGTGCTGGAAGGCGGGGTTGGATAGCACGAAGAGGTTTTGTGGGATGTTTAGATTAGGAATTGGGAGTACGACTTCGTCGGACATGTTGAAGGAACTAGAGTTGGATGAGGGAGGTTGAGAGGGTCCAGGGATTGGGACGCGTCACCTTCCGTTCTCACGGATCAGCGCGTCGCTGGTGTTGATCTTATCTGATTACGTCGCACTTAATGACTTGCTTCCAACTTGTTCTTCCCAACTCTTCAACCTAATAGAACCTGAGCTGTGTCGCAGGCAGGTCGTCCACCTTGTCTGTCCCAGCACAGAGAAACTGATTTAAATTGTTCAGGGTCGTGACCATCGACATGGGCAAACCGCACACCTCAGATAAACATCTGTGTTTAATGCCTTTCTATTCGGCTGCCCTCCAGTCGACGGCATGTTTCCCTCGTCGTACTCGCTGAGCTCATATCTGTACGTGTCGGTCGAACTGTGCTGACTTTCTCCGTCTAATGAGACCTTTCGCGGAGTACTGAGGCGGATGTGGCGCGTATCGAGGATGTCATCCAACAACCAACATATTTGCGACGCAAAACCCTCGACTGGGCTCTTTTTACCCTTACCATCGTCAGCACCCATGTAACGTGGTGGGAGTTCTCTCTGCCCACCTAATTCCGATAGGGATTCCAGTCGTACCTCCGCGACGTCGCATGGGAATATTTACGGCTCCAAGTGTCCCCATACATGGCTTCTACTGCGTGTTTCGGGCAGCCTGCAACTACTATGCCGGGGTGCACAGACCACGAGAATAGACACTGCCAAAGCCTTCGTCAAGGACTCCCTCATTATCGTCCCGACCTCTACCGTCTCTGTTCAGGTGACCAGAACCAGGATCTCTCAGGGATCAACAGTGCCCTGCAGGAGATGAAAGAGACTCCTTGACAAAAGTACGGCCAGATGGGTGATACCCTCACTACATGATTTCTCGACTCGCTGATGTGCTATCCAGCCTATGCATGTATATATGGCGATACGTCTTGTGCCGCATCTTTCTGTTCTTTAGCTTGCAGTAATGAACTATCGAATACAGGAAATGTTCTATTCGGCCGAAGTGTGGACGTATTTCAGGCTGTCGCGTTATTGTAGAATACCATCTCATCCCATCCTCGGAAGTTCATATGCTGTGAACTTGTACCACCCTACCGTCGCCATTCGAAAAAAAAACCTATGCGTCTCGACGTACTCCTTGCGGATTGTGATTCTTGTTCAAGTACAGCTACCAGAAATCACTTTCGGTGAAGACAAGAAAGCCGGGAAAGGAGGAAAAGTTTTGGTGGTGGATCGAGAACGACCCTTCAAATTCTTCATGACGTCGTCCAACGTCCCGGCATTGAACTCCGGCTCAAGAACCTAGGAGCACAGAATCAGATGAAGGAAATTGTTTTGCGAGAATATAGGTGATTTCCTCACGACAGGTGAAATGAAATAAATTAAATTCGATCCAAACTTCGACCTTTAGTTAGATCCCTTGTCGTAGAAACCCATAGCTTCATCCCATCCACTGAGACCGTTTGTTAGCTCGTACGCCGTGAATTTATGCCAGCCCTCGGGTGCCATCCGAAAGATGACCTCGTACGAAAGAGACGACCCATACGTCTCAACATACTCCCTTAATTCACCTCCGATTTCGCTCTTACCTCGACCGCCAGCCGTTGGCAACGTCTCCGCCACATAATTGTAGACGAACTCCACCCTTCCGCGAACCCCTCGCGAAAATTGTATCCACCGTGTGTCCAAGAGACGTATGAGGTCCCTCTCCATCCAGTTGTTCTCCGTGATCGAGTTGATGGAGTCGATAACCAGGATCCGGATAGAGGGTACAAGCTGGTTCAAGGCAGGGCTCGCGTCTTCGTTGAACAGGAACACGCCAATCCCCGAGTATGGCGAGCGGAAAATAGACGCACTCAAATGGAGCTCCGTGATGGATCTTGCGCAAGAGAGGTTCCGTCGAAGGCCTGGAAAACCTTGTATCGGACTGGCGTCTTTCGCGTCCTTGACGAGTCGGAGAGCCGTCAGACTTGGAAAGGGAACGCAGAGGTCGACGTCCTGTGCCCAATACGTGAGGTGGCGTAGACGAGGGCCAGCCCCAGGGGGTGGATCGAGAAAGTGGCCGCGGATAAGCTGGCGAGTGATGTTGATAGCCATAGATTCGAGGTTTTGGAACCAAGTGAGGAAATTGAACCACGCTGCGAGGGGAATTTCGTATGAGATGCAGAGGTGGGTGAGCTGGTCCCAGGGAAGATGAGCGATATCCTGCTTGCCGGATAGGTGCACGCGGCGTAAGGAAGGGAATCTTGAGTAGGTGCCGCGCCGGGGCGGAGGTCCTGTTGTGGCGTATGCACGAAGGGTAAGGCATTCGAGTTTTTCAAATATCGGCGGGGAGAGGGTGTTACTCCAAAGGGACAGTGCCTTTCCAGCAGCTTTGGGTGAGAGCGCCAGGTCCAAATCTTTGATCAGCCCAAACATGTTGCTCGCGAAGAACTCTTTGATAGGCTGATACCCCTTCTCCTCCGTGTTCAACCCTCGAATGAAATTGCCCTCTATATCAAAAATGCACTCGCTGTTGAGCTCCTGATAGAGTTCGAGGCGGAGGTGAACGGGGTGGCGGGCAGCGTTGCGCCTGCACCAGTCCAGCAGCTCGGCGATGTTTCGACGGATGTAGATTTCTTGGGAGTCAAATGCCCAGGGCGTGTAGCAATGGACATTCCAGATTGTCAACGGGATCGTCAACCACGACCACAGGGATGGCATTCCGAGCGCCGCATGTCTCCACGAAGCGCAGACTCGACAGAGCGACATGGGAGCCGTGGCTTGCAAACGTTGTTGACCACTGTTTTTACGCTGGTTATGCGGTGGTACGAGCAGCTTGAAAATGTCGGTGAGAACATCAAATGGGAGCTCGTTGGCGCTTGATTTCCTCATCTACCTTCAAATGAGTTTCGGTTTCTTCGAGTTATTGGCTATAACGTACTTACTTTGGAACCTCAAGATGGATTATGGCTTCCAATCCAACGACGCCTAAGATCGCCGCGGGTGAGGGGAAGAAACAGGGAGGCTCTCTTGATGCACGGCGAGACGGCGAGGAAAGGACTGCATAGCCACAGACACCTTGATCTCTGACCACCATGTAACCATGTCAACGGTGGTTCACCGTCGCGCATATACATACCCGTTCAAAGACTTCAATAACCCCAGCATCCCCGTCTGGAAGCAGGAATATGATCCTTTAGCTTGACCAAGCTGATTACTCGAATAGTAAGTGGGTCGCCTCAATCTCCACCGCTTTCCAACGAAATCGAATATTCTGACCAACCTTCCACCTCTTTACCCCACAGAAAGCCGTGTCCACGCTGTTCTCCAACCTAAATGTCGATCCGTTCCGCTTTTATGCGCACGCGCACTTGTCTCCGAGGCGGAAACTGGTCGGGCCTTAACGCATAATGAATGAACTGCCATCGGATGACGATTGTCGCCCGTGTATGTCCGTCTTGCACACGCCGCCAAGATCCCTCAAACAAGGAAGACGGGTCCCAAATTATCAACGCCCCCGTTGACCCACGGTCGGGTCCTTCGGGATGTCTTCACGGACTTTGGATAGATTACCCAAAATAGTCTCCGAACTGCGGGACAAAACGGCTTCCACAGATGACGACATGTGACCGTCTAGCACTCGAAGAATGCCCGTCGACGCCGTTTGGTGGGGGCAAGCGAGTGGCGTTGACTGCGGGATGTCGGGAGGAATCGAGTTTCGGTGCGTACGGGATCGTCTGATGACGCTTGTCTTCACGGACTTGTATAGTTTTCGAAGCCAAGCGGAAGGGTATAAAAGCCTGACCGTTGTGCCTCGAGTTCTCCAATCCAATCGCCTCCTCTCTCATCTCAAAACCTCAAAGCAACAACCACTCTCAAGCCAACTTACATTTCTGATACCATCATGAAGGCGAGCGCCTTTCGAACGAAGTCGCCTCTTGCTCTGTTCGCTGACTTCGGGACTGTGATCTCTAGGTCCTCGCTATCCTCTATCAGGGCGGTGAAGCTGCTACCAATGAGCCCCGTCTCCTAGGTACCGTCGAGAACAAGGTAATCATCCCCCAATCCTCTTCTATTTCTCGACACTGACAGCTTTATTAGCTTGGTATTCAACAATGGCTCGAATCTCAAGGACATGAATTCATTGTATGTCACCGGACTGCTATTTCCAGAGATTCGGTATAAATGTGTGCTTCTAGGTGTCCAGTAGCAAGGAGGGACCGGACAGCGACTTCCAGAAGCATATCGTCGATGTATACATAAATTCGCCTTTGTGCTCGATTGTTTATACTGATTTCAACGATAGGCTGAAATTCTCATCACAACCCCATTCCACCCGGGCTACCTGACCCGAGAGCTCATGGAAAAGGCGAAGAATCTCAAGATTTGCATCACCGCCGGTGTCGGCTCAGACCACATCGACCTCGATGCTGCCGTCGACCACAACATCCAAGTCCTCGAGGTCTCCGGATCGAACGTCGTCTCCGTTGCTGAGCACGTCATGATGAGCATCCTCCTGCTCGTCAGGAACTTCGTGCCTGCACACGAGATGATTGAGCGCGGAGATTGGCAGGTATCTGAGATTGCAAGGAACGCGTTCGACTTGGAGGGCAAGGTTGTTGGGACCCTCGGTGCTGGACGGATTGGGTATCGTGTGTTGCAACGTCTGCAGCCGTTCAACTGCAAGGAGCTGCTCTATTACGACTATGCCCCTCTTCCGGCTGCTGCTGCTGAGTCTGTCGGCGCTCGCCGCGTTGAGGATCTGAAGGAATTTGTCTCTCAAGTACGTTCCTTCGTGGTCGACTATTGGAATGCTAGCTGACCATTTATTCTACTTAGTGCGACCTCGTTACTGTCAACTGCCCTTTGCACGAAGGCACTCGCGGCCTCATCAACGCCGACCTCCTCAAACACTTCAAGAAGGGTGCCTGGATCGTTAACACCGCCCGCGGAGCCATCTGCGACAAGGACGCCCTCGCCGCCGCCCTCGCCAGCGGCCATATCAATGGATACGCTGGCGATGTCTGGAACGTTCAGCCTGCGCCGAAGGACCACATCTGGCGTACGATGAAGAATCATCTCGGAGGCGGAAACGGCATGGTGCCTCACTATTCTGGAACGACGCTCGACGCCCAGGCGCGGTATGCGAATGGGACGAAGGCGATTCTCGAGAATTATCTGCAGAGTAGACCTCAGGAGCCGCAGAACATTATCGTTGGGGATGGGAGGTATGAGAGCAAGGCTTATGGACAACGCTAGATCACACTTCTCCTTGGGCAACGTTACATTCTCCGAGTATCGAGTATATTAGTGCATCTTATTAGTATCGATAATCCCATCGCTCAATTTCTCCACCTCAAAGTAATTCATACGCTTGCATTCGACGTCGAATTTCGTGCTTGCATGGCAGAGGGCGAAAAGAATATGATCTGTATTCTCATGGTGCCGTTGTGGGAGCTGGAACGATCTCAGCCCCTTTATCTGTGGAAGACTACAATAGGGGTACAATCCGTAGCGTTCCGTTCTGGCACAGTCCCCGCCTCTCTTCCTCTTCTCCACACTGCCAAAGAACCGTGTGCGTTGGCTTGCCTTGAACGTCCGCGAGCGTCGAGTGTGGACTCTGATGGATGACGTATATGCCGAGGCTTGCACAGCATTTCGGCCGACACTAAAAATTCCGTTTCGGGCCGTGGGAGAGGACCCTACCTTATCTGATCGTCCTCGTATCCTTGCGACACGACACGATTGGGTCGATCGTTTTTTCCTTACCATCGTCCAGGTTGCCCTTGGTCGCTCAACAACATCTTGCAGATCGACGCAGTTCGGGCTCCGTGTACCATTTCATCGTCTTCCCCACATGACATGGCGCTCCTATACTCCTTCAAGCTTGATAGGTACGCGCTTTACAGATTCTTCATATACGATTGTAAAGGTCGCCGTGTGATCGATCGTCGTATTACTTGCAATAAATTGACCTATCCCGCAGGTGTCTATGGATCATCCTCCAACATTAAGTGAGCCATGAGGATAACATGTGTGGTGCGCGATCTAAAATACATTGGTCTATGACTGCAACTTTCAATTCCCGTAGACAAACACAAAACTCTTTGGCTTGCTCTGCCCCGCAGTAGAGACAAATCTTTCAAAGGTGAACCTGTCAGTCTCACTGAAAAAAACGTTAGCCCTTTTTTCTTGATTGTAGGGTCACTTACTCCACGAATGTCTGAGCAACTCGGTTACCGCGACTTGCAGCCCCATTTGTCTGTGGTGTTGCAACAATTCCCAGTTGGTTGGAGGCCTTCTGCGCCTTTCGGACCGGCCTAGGAAGAGAACTTCTCAGTGAAGCTGCAGAGGAGCTAGCGAAAAAACGCATACTTCGCGCCAGGGTTCTCGCTAAACTTTTGTATGTGAACCGGGGCGGAGGTGAGTAATACGCTACTCTCCACCTGCTGGTTCGATCCATTGCGTTTTCTTGTTAGCTCCTCCAGCGTTGACTGAGGAGGAGCAACTCTTGGTTGTCTTTCCCGGCTCTCGAATGGATTTCCGGGTGGCGGTCCCGAATGAATTTCTTTCCCCACTACAGGGAGATTGGCCTTGCTGAAAGGCTTGTAATGCTCGTCAGGTGAATTAAGGTGTTGGTATTTCATAACGTTGTGCCTGCGATGAGAAGATCCTCTGTCGTATGGACCGGATCGGTGCGATCCTGCATTCTTGGAGGTCCTCCGGACTCCTGAGACTTGTTTGCGCTCTACGATCTCATGTTGATTGGTCGAGGGACTTTCGAATGAAAGAGAATGGAGGTCCGCGGACGCCACCGGGTTTCCAAAGAGGGGGCCTGGGTACGCCCTGCCCTCCGTAGGTAGATTGAGACCATAGCGAACAAGGGGGGCGAAGGTCGGGGCAGAGCTGAGGACAGAGCCAAAGGCGGATTGGGGCAGGCTGGAAGAACGCGTCATCCAGTCGAAGGTGTCCTGAGTGGCCCAGCGGGTGCCGCGGGAAGCGTTGGTGGTCCGCATCGTCTCCTCGCATCCATTTGTGGGGGGGTCGGCCATCGTGTGCGAGAAGACGGTTACATACGCCGTAGGCTTCGGCCAGAAAGGTGGCGCTTCAGCGACGGAATTGCCACTGGCCTCGTCCATGAGGCGCGCAAACGCCAGGATGCCCAACTCGGACGAGGAGAGCTGTGCATACTCTGTCGGGGGATGAAAGGAGCTTGAATGTACTCGCTCATACGACGCTTTAATGACAGGCATCATTTCTTCAGGGAGAAGGAGGGAGAAAGTCGGACTCGAGGAGACGATGAAAAGTTCTGTGTGGTTGTGTTTTCTATTCTCTAGGCCCGTAGGGACACCAGACCAGATAGAAGGCGGGGGATTTAAGCCTAATCGTACTAAGTTCCACTCGTTTCGGGTCCTGGACAGCAATACGGTCCACCTTTCGAGCTTCTTCGCCATGTTTCTCCTTGCTTGGTTCGAAAGCACTGCTCTTCTAATAGCGATGGAGCTATACACAGCACCTCATTAGTAGCTGCACGGTATTCTCCTTGTTTCTTCCACCCAGGTGGATGGTTTGACGCCAAATTGAAAGCCGATGGGGCGACATGAGGATCGGTGGGACTGATGTCAAGTATCATGCTGCTGAAAAGGAGAAACACAGAAACAACAATAAAATAAATTAACCTCGGATAATTTCAACGAGGGCGCTCCTCGCGAGCAGGAAATAACGTAGCTTATATTATGTATTTACGGTCCTAACGCGAGCACCCCTTTGAAGCGCGACAAAGAGTGGGCGAAAGTCGAACCCTCTAACTCATGAGAAACATGGCACTTGCATTACGGGAAGTTTGCTTGGTCTCATGAAGCTCCAAGCCTCGGCGTCATTTCACATTATATAGGACAT